ATATAACGGAAACCAGGGTGAGCAGTCAAGCATGACAACTTTAATGACGTCGATGGTTGGTTTAGTCGTTGTAGCCAACCCTGGAAGCTTGTGTCTCTAGCAGAGTTAACATTTCAGCCAGCATCAATGCATGCAGCTATGCAAGAGTTAATCTTCAGCCAGTATTGAAGCTTGCAGCTATGCAAGAGTTAATCTTCAGCCAGTATTGAAGCTTGCAGCTATGCAAGAGTTAATCTTCAGCCAGTATTGAAGCTTGCAGCTATGCAAGAGTTAATCTTCAGCCAGTATTGAAGCTTGCAGCTATGCAAGAGTTAATCTTCAGCCAGTATTGAAGCTTGCAGCTATGCAAGAGTTAATCTTCAGCCAGTATTGAAGCTTGCAGCTATGCAAGAGTTAATCTTCAGCCAGTATTGAAGCTTGCAGCTATGCAAGAGTTAATCTTCAGCTAGTATTGAAGCTTGCAGCTATGCAAGAGTTAATCTTCAGCTAGTATTGAAGCTTGCAGCTATGCAAGAGTTAATCTTCAGCTAGTATTGAAGCTTGCAGCTATGCACGAGTTAATCTCCGGCCAGTATTGAAGCTTGCAGCTATGCACGAGTTAATCTCCGGCCAGTATTGAAGCTTGCAGCTATGCAAGAGTTAATCTCCAGCCAGTATTGAAGCTTGCAGCTATGCAAGAGTTAATCTTCAGCCAGTATTGAAGCTTGCAGCTATGCAAGAGTTAATCTTCAGCTAGTATTGAAGCTTGCAGCTATGCACGAGTTAATCTCCGGCCAGTATTGAAGCTTGCAGCTATGCACGAGTTAATCTCCGGCCAGTATTGAAGCTTGCAGCTATGCAAGAGTTAATCTCCAGCCAGTATTGAAGCTTGCAGCTATGCAAGAGTTAATCTTCAGCCAGTATTGAAGCTTGCAGCTATGCAAGAGTTAATCTTCAGCTAGTATTGAAGCTTGCAGCTATGCACGAGTTAATCTCCGGCCAGTATTGAAGCTTGCAGCTATGCACGAGTTAATCTCCGGCCAGTATTGAAGCTTGCAGCTATGCAAGAGTTAATCTCCAGCCAGTATTGAAGCTTGCAGCTATGCAAGAGTTAATCTTCAGCCAGTATTGAAGCTTGCAGCTATGCAAGAGTTAATCTTCAGCTAGTATTGAAGCTTGCAGCTATGCACGAGTTAATCTCCGGCCAGTATTGAAGCTTGCAGCTATGCACGAGTTAATCTCCGGCCAGTATTGAAGCTTGCAGCTATGCAAGAGTTAATCTTCAGCCAGTATTGAAGCTTGCAGCTATGCAAGAGTTAATCTTTAGCCAGTATTGAAGCTTACAGCTATGCACGAGTTAATCTCCGGCCAGTATTGAAGCTTGCAGCTATGCAAGAGTTAACCTTCAGCTAGTATTGAAGCTTGCAGCTATGCAAGAGTTAATCTTTAGCCAGTATTGAAGCTTACAGCTATGCACGAGTTAATCTCCGGCCAGTATTGAAGCTTACAGCTATGCAAGAGTAAAACTTCAGACAGTATTGAAGCTTGCAACAGGAGCTGACATTAAAACCTACACAGCACCTATCCTTTAACTTTACCTTTCTACAACTGCTCGGGTAACCAAAAAATGGGAAGACTTACAAATGTATTGACTATTTTAGTTAGTTTTATACAGCAGATAATCAAACTGTCCAGAATTAGCACTATTGGTTTGGTTTGGCGGTGTGGAAGAATAGGATTAATTGAGTGTGTAAAACACATTTGGTTGTTGTTTTTTCTCGGATACGTCTTTAAAAGTTTTAACAGTAGAGCCCACACTACGTGAACACACGTTAAAACCAATTCTCTGATGAAGCACAGTGTCAACCGATCTAGATATCACAAGTTTAGTGAACAAACACAGGATACCACCTTACACAGAATCTTCCTATTTACTAGCTCTACTTCGTCTATTGAATTCTAACGTGACTCCTCCCGACACAAAGGTCTAACGTGACTCCTCCCGACACAAAGGTCTAACGTGACACCTCCCGACACAAAGGTCTTACGTGACACCTCCCGACACAAAGGTCTTACGTGACACATCAGGACAAAGGTCTAACGTGACACATCAGGACAAAGGTCTAACGTGACACCTCCCGACACAAAGGTCTTACGTGACACCTGCCGACACAAAGGTCTTACGTGACACCTCCCGGCACAAAGGTCTTACGTGACACCTCCCGGCACAAAGGTCTTACGTGACACATCAGGACAAAGGTCTAACGTGACACATCAGGACAAAGGTCTAACGTGACACCTCCCGACACAAAGGTCTAACGTGACACCTGCCGACACAAAGGTCTAACGTGACACCTCCCGACACAAAGGTCTAACGTGACACCTCCCGACACAAAGGTCTAACGTGACACTTCCCGGCACAAAGGTCTAACGTGACACCTCCCGACACAAAGGTCTAACGTGACACCTGCCGACACAAAGGTCTAACGTGACACCAACCGGCATCATCAAATAAATTGGGTTAGTCCCAATATCTCACCCGATCAATAACCAGAAAGGGAAGACAACTTTTTCCTTCTGTCGTGAAGATTTTTTTTTTCTCCCAATCTTAGATTTGGTCTACACTATCAGTCTTTCTTCCAGCAGACTTTTTCTCGGGGGGGGGGGGGGGTCTACATTTTCTAGGGGGAGGGGCGGGGGGGGGGGCGGTCTACATTTTCTGAGGGGGGGGGGGGGCAGACACTAGTAAAAATATATGTTTACTATATAAATTCCATCTCGTTCGCTTGGAAAAAAAACCCGAAAAGATGCATGGAAGAAACTCTGTACACTATGGAGCTAGTTGCTTCATCATAGCATCACGTTTTATGTCTTCACCGGAATCACATTTTATCTTTTCACAGTGAATTTCGGACAAGGGGGCTATTATTGTTACAACAGTTGCTAGCAAGTTATGTTGCCAACTACAACATTCCTTAATCAGGTATCTTTCTAAACATTTGAAATGTTGCGCACCAGTGTGAACATTGTGTTACAGGAACGTTTATCTGGCTACCCAGGTGTGAAGCGATGTTTGTAAACAAATGTATACTGCTTGTGTTGTAGGCATTAGGGAAAGCCTTCATTGAATCGCCCAGTCGAAGGTTAGCCTTAAGGGAGAATAAACTACACAAAAGATCTGGTGAAATGTACCAGTAAAAGAGGTTTAATCGTACCACGTAGAGAAGCTTCAATTGTAACAGTTTTAATTCTATACATCATAGTTTATTAAAGATTAATATATTTTCCGTATTTAAAATCAAATACAATAAATTAGAAACGAAATATTGGAAAATATTACATCTGCAACCATCAAATGCGTGTAAATAATGTTGTAACAGTATAATAACGATAGTTTATGTGTTGCAGTCATACATCGAAAGCAAACAAAAAATATGCACATAGATAAAATATTTGTTAGTATTTTTTGCCAAGCATGGTAAAAATGATTACATTTTAAAAAACTATTAAAATCATTTTTTTTTTTAAATTCGTTAAAATAAATATAGTTAAAAAGTCGTAAAAAAATTAGAAACGAAGTATCAATAACAAAAGGCGTAAAGGTTTAGCAAGAAACAGAAAACACTAATGAAAGTATTGAAAGTTGATCTAATGCTGTAACAACAAGAACGCTCTAACGTGTGAGATCGTGTACACTAAAAAGTCGTGAAACTTTAGGCACGAGAGAAACAAATTTGGCGTACCCACCTGTCTGCCCGTTAGTCCAGGAGTGAGGGCCCCCATGCGACCAGACGTCTCCTATCAAGTGCTCAGGGCGAGCAAATGACGTCATCAGCCAATGAGCAGACTTCACGCCACTGCCCCAAGCGAAAGAGGGGGGGGGGATGACAATGTGTCTATTCAAGACTACTAGTGCGCATGTCAGACTTTAAAACGAGCTACATTTGAGATGGTGTGGGGTGGGGATGGTTGATGGGGAGTGGGGGGGGGGGGGGATTCTTTTGCCGCATCGAACCCGTCTGTCGTATGCTGCTGTTTATTTTTTCTTCTGGCGGGAAAAGCTGTTTCTTACGTTCGTGTAGTGACGTCACCTTTGTTTACTTTGGCAGATGTAAACACGCCCCGACGTCTGCTAGCTGTTGGTCGTCTGTTGGCGTGGAGTGTGAGGTACAAAGTCCATCTCTAGGTCTTGACTGACCACGTTACTCTCCCCTCCCCCACCTCTACCCCCCCCCCCCCCCCCCCCCCCCCCCCGCCCCACGGTCATCTAGATATTTCTTACCTTGTACATGTTCCACTCATTACAACGTCGATGTCATCACAAGATTACCTCCAGCCACTTTTTTCTGCTTATGCATTTACATTTTTACAATTGTCTGTTTTACGTTAGTCTTGATGATATGTGTGTGTTTGTCTTAACGTCATGTGTATGTGTGGTTGTTAAGTAAGTGGTATTCCTGATGTATGTGTGTGGTTGTGGTTGTGCTGATGTATGTGTGGTTGTGGTTGTGCTGATGTATGTGTGTGATTGTGGTTGTCCTGATGTATGTGTGTGGTAGTCCTGATGTATGTGTGTGGTAGTCCTGATGTATGTGTGTGGTTGTGGTTGTGCTGATGTATGTGTGTGGTTGTGTTAGTCCTAAAAATGTGTGTGGTTGTGTTAGTCCTGTTGTATGTGTGCGATTGTGGTAGTCAAGATGTATCTGAAAGTGGTAATGGTTGTTGTATTCGTGGTTGTACTCTGTATGTGTGTAAAGATGTCATTGCAGTGTCTCTATAGAAATTTTAAAACTCTATTCTAAAGAAAAGCAGGGATCAACAGCTAAATTTGATATAAAAAAAAATAGCGAAAAAACATTTTTTTCTTCCATATTTTTTGGAAGGAATTCATTTTATGTAAAAGAAAGCAAGGGAAATAATGCACCGTTTTATAAAATTGAAAATTGTAAAACATGAATTATTTCCCCTTACAAACAGATATGCTTGAAAAAAATTAAAAGTTAACATTGAATTTTAAAAAAAAAAATGTATTTTATTATCCCTTGAGAATGAAGAAGCATCCATATATTATACACTGGATCACCCATGTCCAGATCCATGTAATGATCTGACTAAGGCTAAATATATAAAGGGGTAAAATTTCTGTCCTCGATGTTATCACAACACGTTACACAAGAGGACGCAAAAAATGTCCTACAATACACCAAGCTACACAAGAGGACATACAGAAAATGTGCCACTACAGGCCACGCTACACAATAGGACACACACAAAATGTCCTACAACACACAACGCTACACAAGAGGACATACAGAAAATGTGCCACTACACACCACGCTACACAAGAGGACATACAGAAAATGTGCCACTACACACCACGCTACACAAGAGGACATACAGAAAATGTGCCACTACACACCACGCTACACAATATGACACACAGAAAATGTGCCACACAACACCACGCACCACTGCTCATGTCGTACGTGATGGCGTATGCACGAACTTGCGCACCGCTGGCGTCGGCATACCGAACCGGCGCGGCGTGGAACCGGAAACCTCTGGGGGGAAGCTCCTCCGTGCCCCTGAGGTTCTCCACGATCAGCTTCCCCCGGGGGAGGTAGGTCTGGTGGATGGGCAGACTCCGGGCGTTCTGACCGCCCTCGCTGAGGGGGTCGGGACTGAGCGTGTCCGAGGCGATCATCTTGACATGTCGCTGCTCCAGGAGAAATCTGCCAGCCGCCTCGCTGATTGACGGGAACACCATCTCCCTGGAAGGTCAGGTTTAACATGTATGTACTTTGTTAACTTACAAATTTGAAAGATCAGATTAAACATTTAAGTACTTTGTTAACTTACAAATTTGAAAGATCAGATTAAACATTTAAGTACTTTGTTAACTTACAAATTTGAAAGCTCATGTAAGCACTTTGTTAACTTACAAACTTGAAAGATCAAATTTAACATGTACGCACTTTGTTAACTTACAAACTTGAAAGATCAAATTTAACATGTACGCACTTTGTTAACTTACAAACTTGAAAGATCAAATTTAACATGTACATACTTTTGTTAACTTACAAACTTGAAAGATCAAATTTAACATGTACATACTTTGTTAACTTACAAACTTGAAAGATCGGATTTAACATGTAAGTACTTTGTTAACTTATAAACACCAAGTTATAATCAAAAAGTTTCTAATCAGTAAATCACATTCAAAGAATGACCTACGTATAAATTACAACAAAACCGTAATATAGCCCACCTAAGTAACTGGTTCTCTGGACCGAGGTTCTACCCACCTAAGTAACTGGCTCGAAATACTGAGGTACTACCCACCTAAGTAACTGGCTCGAAATACTGAGGTACTACCCACCTAAGTAACTGGCTCTAAATACTGAGGTACTACCCACCTAAGTAACTGGCTCTAAATACTGAGGTACTACCCACCTAAGTAACTGGCTCTAAATACTGAGGTACTACCCACCTAAGTAACTGGCTCTAAATACTGAGGTACTACCCACCTAAGTAACTGGCTCTAAATACTGAGGTACTACCCACCTAAGTAACTGGCTCTAAATACTGAGGTACTACCCACCTAAGTAACTGGCTCTCTGTACTGAGGTACTACCCACCTAAGTAACTGGCTACTGAGGTACTACCCACCTAAGTAACTGGCTCTAAATACTGAGGTACTACCCACCTAAGTAACTGGCTCTCTGTACGGAGGTACTACCCACCTAAGTAACTGGCTCTAAATACTGAGGTACTACCCACCTAAGTAACTGGCTCTCTGTACGGAGGTACTACCCACCTAAGTAACTGGCTACTGAGGTACTACCCACCTAAGTAACTGGCTACTGAGGTACTACCCACCTAAGTAACTGGCTACTGAGGTACTACCCACCTAAGTAACTGGCTACTGAGGTACTACCCACCTAAGTAACTGGCTACTGAGGTACTACCCACCTAAGTAACTGGCTACTGAGGTAATACCCACCTAAGTAACTGGCTCTCTATACTGAGGTACTACCCACCTAAGTAACTGGCTACTGAGGTACTACCCACTTAAGTAACTGGCTCTGTACCGAGGTACTATCCACCTAAGTAACTGGCTCTGTACTGAGGTACTACCCACCTAAGTAACTGGCTACTGAGGTACTACCCACCTAAGTAACTGACTCTCTGTACTGAGGTACTACCCACCTAAGTAACTGGCTACTGAGGTACTACCCACCTAAGTAACTGACTCTCTGTACTGAGGTACTACCCACCTAAGTAACTGGCTACTGAGGTACTACCCACCTAAGTAACTGACTCTCTGTACTGAGGTACTACCCACCTAAGTAACTGGCTACTGAGGTAATACCCACCTAAGTAACTGGCTCTCTATACTGAGGTACTACCCACCTAAGTAACTGGCTCTCTATACTGAGGTACTACCCACCTAAGTAACTGGCTACTGAGGTAATACCCACCTAAGTAACTGGCTCTCTATACTGAGGTACTACCCACCTAAGTAACTGGCTACTGAGGTACTACCCACCTAAGTAACTGGCTACTGAGGTACTACCCACCTAAGTAACTGGCTACTGAGGTACTACCCACCTAAGTAACTGGCTCTCTATACTGAGGTACTACCCACCTAAGTAACTGGCTACTGAGGTACTACCCACCTAAGTAACTGGCTCTCTGTACTGAGCTACTACCCACCTAAGTAACTGGCTCTCTGTACTGAGCTACTACCCACCTAAGTAACTGGCTCTCTGTACTGAGCTACTACTCACCTAAGTAACTGGGTCTCTGTACTGAGGTACTACCCACCTAAGTAACTGGCTACTAAGGAACTACCCACCTAAGTAACTGGCTCTCTGTATTGAGGTACTACCCACCCAAGTAACTGGCTCTCTGTATAGAGGTACTACCCACCTAAGTAACTGGCTACTGTGGTACTACCCACCTAAGTAACTGGCTACTGAGGTACTACCCACCTAAGTAACTGGCTACTGAGGTACTACCCACCTAAGTAACTGGCTACTGAGGTACTACCCACCTAAGTAACTGGCTACTGAGGTACTACCCACCTAAGTAACTGGCTACTGAGGTACTACCCACCTAAGTAACTGGCTACTAAGGAACTACCCACCTAAGTAACTGGCTCTCTGTATTGAGGTACTACCCACCCAAGTAACTGGCTCTCTGTATAGAGGTACTACCCACCTAAGTAACTGGCTACTGAGGTACTACCCACCTAAGTAACTGGCTACTGAGGTACTACCCACCTAAGTAACTGGCTACTGAGGTACTACCCACCTAAGTAACTGGCTACTAAGGAACTACCCACCTAAGTAACTGGCTCTCTGTATTGAGGTACTACCCACCCAAGTAACTGGCTCTCTGTATAGAGGTACTACCCACCTAAGTAACTGGCTACTGAGGTACTACCCACCTAAGTAACTGGCTACTGAGGTACTACCCACCTAAGTAACTGGCTACTGAGGTACTACCCACCTAAGTAACTGGCTACTGTGGTACTACCCACCTAAGTAACTGGCTACTGAGGTACTACCCACCTAAGTAACTGGCTACTGAGGTACTACCCACCTAAGTAACTGGCTCTCTGTACTGAGGTACTACCCACCTAAGTAACTGGCTCTAAATACTGAGGTACTACCCACCTAAGTAACTGGCTACTGAGGTACTACCCACCTAAGTAACTGGCTCTCTGTACTGAGGTACTACCCACCTAAGTAACTGGCTACTGAGGTACTACCCACCTAAGTAACTGGCTCTCTGTACTGAGGTACTACCCACCTAAGTAACTGGCTCTAAATACTGAGGTACTACCCACCTAAGTAACTGGCTACTGAGGTACTACCCACCTAAGTAACTGGCTACTCAGGTACTACCCACCTAAGTAACTGGCTACTGAGGTACTACCCACCTAAGTAACTGGCTCTCTGTACTGAGGTACTACCCACCCAAGTAACTGGCTCTCTGTATAGAGGTAATACCCACCTGAGTAACTGGCTCTCTATACTGAGGTACTACCCACCTAAATAACTGGCTACTGAGGTACTACCCACCTAAGTAACTGGCTACTGAGGTACTACCCACCTAAGTAACTGGCTACTGAGGTACTACCCACCTAAGTAACTGGCTCTCTGTACTGAGGTACTACCCACCTAAGTAACTGGCTACTGAGGTACTACCCACCTAAGTAACTGGCTCTCTGTACTGAGGTACTACCCACCTAAGTAACTGGCTACTCAGGTACTACCCACCTAAGTAACTGGCTACTGAGGTACTACCCACCTAAGTAACTGGCTACTGAGGTACTACCCACCTAAGTAACTGGCTCTCTGTACTGAGGTACTACCCACCCAAGTAACTGGCTCTCTGTATAGAGGTAATACCCACCTAAGTAACTGGCTCTCTATACTGAGGTACTACCCACCTAAATAACTGGCTACTGAGGTACTACCCACCTAAGTAACTGGCTACTGAGGTACTACCCACCTAAGTAACTGGCTACTGAGGTACTACCCACCTAAGTAACTGGCTACTGAGGTACTACCCACCTAAGTAACTGGCTACTGAGGTACTACCCACCTAAGTAACTGGCTACTGAGGTACTACCCACCTAAGTAACTGGCTACTGAGGTACTACCCACCTAAATAACTGGCTACTGAGGTACTACCCACCTAAGTAACTGGCTACTGAGGTACTACCCACCTAAATAACTGGCTACTGAGGTACTACCCACCTAAGTAACTGGCTACTGAGGTACTACCCACCTAAGTAACTGGCTACTGAGGTACTACCCACCTAAGTAACTGGCTCTCTGTATTGATGTACAACCTGCTGTTGTTAAACCTCCATGACCAGCCGAAGTTGAAGATGACAGCGGCCTCTGGGGGGATCTCGCCGTGCTGTTTCTCCCACTCCAGCACCTGTAGAGAAGACATCACTGGTGAGTACTTCACCTCGACACGCGCATGCTAACATTTTTTTAAAATGACGTCACACATGACCTTGTCTAGTGGTGCCATGTAACTGTTGTTCAGGCTGGCCTCTCGTGAGCAGTCAATCATCACACCCTCACCGATCGTGTTCTCAATGGGGACATCGTCCAGTGTTTGGCCGTCTGAGGCAACAGAAATGTGTGAGTATTTCAACCCTAAATTATAACATTGTCATTTGGCTGAGTTAAACACATTTTTTTCACAGTCAGCCCGTCTTTAGGCAAGCGTATATATTACTGTAAATTATACCCTTCATTTTTTACTTTCTCGTAGATCTATATACAAAGTATAGATAAAGTCTTGTAATCGTGCAAAAAAAACAATCGAGATTTTTATAAATCTCGGCGTTTTACACCTCATTGATACGGAAAAACATAATTTTGCAATCTTGTTCGTACGTTACAGCTGGGTTGATGAAATTTCATATATAAGTATTTTATCAAAATAGTAGATCCTGATCAACTTTTGAGCGATTTCCGATAACCGGAAGTGGTACTTTTTCTACTTTGAATTTTTCAAAAGCCTATTACTTGAGTACTATTTCAGATAGATAAATGAAATTTCACATGTAAGTAAAAGATCTAATTCTCTACTTTCTGTCAAATGTTGAATAATTTCCGTTGACTAAGTACTAATTTACGCTATTTCCGATTTCTAAAAAAACGCATGTAAATTTATAAAGTACTAATAATATCCCGCACTATTATGCACATTTTATTAGGCGTTCACTTGGTGTGCAATTTTTTTTTTTACAAGATTCTATTCTATTATAAAAGTTTAAGTACTTAAAAATGGATTACAAATATTGTCTATGTCCTGAGTTGCCATCCCTCGTAGTTTTATATTTGAATATTCGAGAAAGTTTAGGGGAGATCACTCCCGGTTTATTTTAAAAGCACTTGTTCAGATCATTAAATTAACAATAATTTTAAACTTAGTTTAACCCGCTGTAGGAAATCGAAACGTTTTTAACTGCCAGAAACATATTTTAAAGTGGTTTGTTTATAAAACATTTAGTTTGAGAATAGCTCACGTGAACTTCTATAGATGGTACTCACCCATGACGAAATGTACAGGGGCATCCATGTGTGTCCCTCCATGCTCTCCGCTTTCGTACCTGCCGTTCTCTGCGCTGTGGGCAAAACATGAGAAACATAGGCGGATTTAACATTCTGGTACGAACATGAGAAACACGGATAGACTGAGCTACATCCTTAACATTCTGGTCAAAACATGAGAAATATGTTAGCTACTTCCTTAACATTCTGGTCAAAATATGAGAAATATGTTAGCTACATCCTTAACATTCTGAAACCACACCACAGCGAGATACTAAATTGTCACATAAAAATACATTGTAACTCTACTGTCACATTAAAATCAAATTGTGTCCGTTGCTAGCAATGTCACATGAACTATGTAGTAACGACCTTCTCGCCTAAATTCTCATTTCCAATGTTTACTTCCGTGAGTGATTAACTGCTCACCTGTCAAATGTTTACTAACGTGAGTACTTAATGCTCACAGGTAAAAAGTTTACTTTCGTGAGTGATTAACTGCTCACATGTCAAATGTTTACTAACGTGAGTACTTAAATGGACACAGGTAAAAAGTTTCCTAACGTGAGTACTTAATGCTCACACAACACACACGTACTTACAACACGCCAGGCAAGTATTCGCCACGTGACACCAACGACCTGTTGTAGTGCGGTTGTCCAGGCGACATTAAGGTCAGCGGACCGTGTCGATGAGACAGGTCAATGACCCGAGCATCCAGCACCACGAGACACAATGTCAGCAATCCAACCTTCATCCCATACATTTTGAGCTATACTCTCTAACCAGCAGGCCGACAAATTGTTTTATTTTGTTCCGCCTTAAAGTACACCATTTCAAATTTGCACTTTACCACGCAGGCGCATGCGCGTTGTACGACGATCCGACAGCCAATCGTATTGCTGGAAAAAAAAATTACGTTTCTCACTCACCCCCCCCCCCTTCCAGTAGCGGCAGATCCTACGACTCACAGAGTTCCAGACTAGATAAGGGGTGGGGGGAGGGCGTTTAATGAGGAGGGAGTGGGGACGGTATGACTAATGGGCGGGGATGGGGACGACGACGAAGGGATGGGGATGGTGGGAGGGGGACATACAACCCTGACGAAGAAACCTCAGTAGCACTACATCACAGTAGTCTGGGACCCCGCTGTTTTTCATCTTACACTTCTGTACAACAACATCGTTCATATGTTGTCTTTACTTCACGAAATGTGAACAGTGATGAAATGTAAGCCTCAATTTCCTACTGCTGGTTGCATCTTGAATCGTTTAATGCACATCAAAGTACAGTGTAAGGCTCACTAAAAGCTTGAAAATGGTATGTGGTTATTTCATCTCTGTGATGTAATCAAGACGATGAGGTACAGGCATAATGTGTAACTCTTCAATGTTTGTGTTGGTGTGTGTAGGTGATGGGAAGTTCAGCGCGAATCTTCAATGGTGCTGTGACGTCATCAGAATGTGTGTAAACAAAACGAAAATCTGCATCAAACTTGGTCAATGTGTAGTGCGTGTGTATGTGTGGGTGTGCGTGATCGTCTGAACGTGCGTTCGTCTGTCGGTGTTTGTAAGTCTGTGTGTGTGTATGTGTGCGTGTTTGTCTTATGAGCAGGCCTTTGTTTTAAGGCCAACTGATCGGTGTGAAGTCTTGGAATAAACTGATGTTGGTTTAGTAATGGCCAGTTGTATTGTTGTAGTGTAATCAAGTCGATTCGCCTAAACATTATCTCTATATGGAAATTGTACTGGATTGTTTTCTTCTATAGAATGTCTGTCTTGTAAATTCTAGACCACGGGTTCCCAACCTGGGGGTCGCGACCCCCAGGGGGGTCGCGAAGGTCTTTCTGGGGGGTCGCCAACTGGTATACTAAACCTTAGTAATTTGAAACAAAACATAAATATTTAGAAGAATTTTTGAAATTCGGCTTCATTAACATCACTGGAAATGTAATAGAGAAGAAACAAAGCGCACTGTACAAAGTTGTTCTCAGTCACGAATCTATGAAATCTTCAAAACTAAAACGTCATTTGAGACGAGTCATTCGGAACACACCAAAAAATATATGGAGTTCTTTCGTCGGTAAGAAGCTAGTTGCAAACGCCAGAGACTTGATCGAACAGGAAGTTTTCACCAGCATCAAATGAAGTCGCAATAGAAAATGCCAAGCAAAAAAAAAAAAAAAAAAAAAAAAATAGGAGAAAATCTCATCAAACGCTGCATGTACGTAAATGTTAAATAACACAGTTTTATTGAAATTAAGCTTTCACCATTGTTTGCTTTTCAAGTTGATAAATCAACAGACGTGAGTTTGTGTTCGCAGTTGCTGGTCTGTGTCTATATTCATGCGGATGATAGTAAAGTAGAGTTGCTCTTTTGTGAAGATAGCATGGAGAAAATAAATACCTTTTTTGAAACTGGATGATTAAAATTGGTTAGAACGGCTGTGGGGGTTTGTACGGATTGTGCGCCATCTATGTTTAGGTTAAAATCGGGCTTTCAGAAAACAGAAAAGATTTAGCTCCCTAACCACTACCCTAACCAATCGACATCAAGAGTCCATTGCTAGTATAAGTCGTAAATTATATAAAATCTGGAGCCTTCAAAGAACTGAGCAAAAACATTAATATAGATCACTAGGTTCTGCTCTTCTACACTACAGGACGCTGGCTGTCAAACAAAATGTTGTAAATTGTGTTTTTGAATTGAAATCTGAAATCAAATTGTTCTTGGAAGTGCAAAGGAAACAAGACTTTTTGGTATACTTAAAACGACATAGTCTATGTGGTTGGAGAGAGTATCATATCTAGCAGATGTGTTCGAACATCAAGATAAGCTTAACCTGAAGCTTCAGGGAAAATGAACGAATATTATAACTTTCCATGATAATCTCTGGGCATTTTTATCGAAGCTGCAAAATCGGTAAAGAAAATAAATCTTGGAAATATTGTAAATTTGAGAAACTCTGCGGTGTGGTAAATGAATCTGATTGTGAGATAATTAAAATTTTGAAAGAAGCGATTTCTGGGCATCTTGAATCTCCTGAAAACGAACTGCATTGCTATTTCTCTGAGCTGAAAAAAAGAAGAATCTGCATTTACGCATTACCCATTCTCTTCTTCCCTTGATGTTGCCAGCATTACCGATGAATTACAAGATGAATTCTTTGATTTGCAGAATGATTCCGAGTAAGATGAAAAACTTCAGACACAGTTCTGGTGCAGTATTCACCATTCATACCCAAACGTAAAATTGATTGACTTTTCGAGAATATATTTTCAACACTATTCTTCGATTAAAAACAAAATTAAGATAATTATAATGACATAGGTTGGCGTTAACAAATTTTTTTAAAAATTAAAAACTTAACCACGAAGGTTTAGTTAATAGTATTCAATTTTACTCATGCTATTAAAATAGTTATCAAGAGTAGTTCATATTGAAAGTCTACTAGAAAATCTTAATTTAGTGCTTATTAATTTCCATACTAATTTCGGCTTTTTAATTCTATGGGGGTCGAGGGTCACTTACTTTTTATAAAAGGGGTCGCCACTCGAAAAAGGTTGGGAACCACTGTTCTAGACACATAAGATGACACACAAGAAGACAGACACACTAGCAGACGCACCAGAACACTTAAGAAAACAGACACACAAGAAGACAGACACACAAGAAGACAGACACATAAGAAACAGAGGCGAAGCGATGGGGGGCAAGGGGGACATATGTCCCCGGGCTCCGACCTTAGGGGGCGCCAAAATGGGTTGTAAAAACAAATTAAAATGTTAATTTAGCTGCATTTTGAAGTTGGGGGGGGGGGTGAACATCGAAAGTTTGAGGGGGGTGCAAATCGAAAACTTGAGGGGGGTGCAAATCGAAAACTTGAGGGGGGTGCAAATCGAAAACTTGAGGGGGGGGTGCAAATTGAAAATTCGCTCCCGAGGGGGGCGCCAAATTGAATGTTTGTCCCCGGGCGCCGAGAAGGGTCTCTACGCCTCTGATAAGAAAACAGACAAATAAGAAAACAGACACACTAAAAGACACAAGAAGACAGGTACATCAGAAAGCAGACACACTAAAAGACACAAGAAAACAGACCCATCAGAAAACAGACACACTAAAAGACACAAGAAGACTGACACATCAGAAAACAGACACACCACAAGGCAGACACTCTATCAAAGAGAGCAATATTTTTTATCTGTGAAGGGGAACAGATTGTTGCATTAGATTCCAGTCATGATTATATCACATGTTTTCTTTAGCGAGCGGCTACCAGTTTGTTTGTTTGTTTAAATCAGCGGACGAGACACGCTGTAATGGAATGTGCTACATCTAGTCACGATCTGAAACATCACTCTAAATATATACCAGGTCTTGATACATAACCCCCCCCCCCACTATACCAGGTCTTGATACATAACCCCCCCCCCCACTATACCAGGTCTTGATACATAACCCCCCCCCACTATACCAGGTCTTGATACATGACCCCCCCCCACTATACCAGGTCTTGATACATGAACACCCCCCCCCCCCCCCGCTATACCAGGTCTTGATACATAACCCCCCCCCCCCCCCACTATACCAGGTCTTGATACATGACCCCCCCCCCCACTATACCAGGTCTTGATACATGAACACCCCCCCCCCGCTATACCAGGTCTTGATACATAACTCCCCCCCCCCCCACTATACCAGGTCTTGATACATGACCCCCCCCACTATACCAGGTCTTGATACATGACCCCCCCCCCCACTATACCAGGTCTTGATACATGACCCCCATCACACACACTATACTAGACCTTACATGACCCCCACTATAACAGGTCTTGCTGCATGCCTCCCCCCCCCCACTATACTAGACCTTACATGACCCCCCCCCCCCCCACTATACCAGTTCTGTCAACATGACCCTCCCCCCTCTGGTATCGAAAATTTTGTCACAGAATTTTCTGGAATCGAATATTCTGCTATATTATAATGACCATTAATCAAATAATAGAAAAAAATGCCCTTTTTAGACTGACCTAGTCAGCGAATATCTATTGAACACGTTTACATTAGGTAGCACTCAGTTCGTGAGGAGTTGAGGCCAATATGAACCAGTGTGTAATGAGATCTGGCAACATTTACAACTTGAACCTGGCTGATTTCCTATAAAGGTGTATTTGATGTTGTATTGTCATGTAGTGTATTTGATGTTGTTATTGTCAGGTAGTGTATTTGATGTTGTATTGTCGGGTAGTTTCCTTGTTTACTTTAGTCTACCTGTAGAGCAACAAGCTGTATTGAACACCACGACCTACTGTTCGTACAGATTAAATCTCTAGAACATTCGAGCATGATTATATGAACGTTTATTACAAGCAACAATACATGAGAATGCAATCGATGAAGGCACCAACAAATTAATAGACTATAGCTGCCAGGAAAGACATTAAACAAACAATAGAAGCAGTCATTGAGCTATGCTTAGCTGCGCCATTTTCTTCTTCTAACTTTGGGTCAAAGGTCATGGCGAAAGCTCGAACTTGACCCCCAGTCCCACGGTCAAATTTTGTGGGGTTGGCGAAAAATCTGAAGTTCTTGGCCGGAAGTTGATCCGTCCCCTTCAAGTTCTCCACGATGAGCCGGTCCCTGGGCAGATAAGTCGTGTGGATGTGGGGGCGTGGGAGTGGCTTCCCCCTGAGTTTCATGGCGTCAGGGCTGACCGTGTCTGTCCCGATGATCTTGATGTTCCGCTTGTACAGGAGGAAGTCGGACACCGTCTCGCTAATGGAGGGGAAGACAAAGTTGCTGGGGACAAACACAAGGGGTGTCGTTTTAGTTTGTTTATGGACCAACATAAATGGTTCGTAATTAACTGGTTCTGTTATTAACTCTGTTTGTTCTGAAAGGGAGGTCTATTATTAATACCTTTTTGTTCGTGAAATGAGGTCTCTTATTAATTCTCTTTGTTTTGTTCTGAAAGTGAATGGAAACCAACCTAATATTGCCTTTCGCGTCTCCTACATAATCCAGTGGATTGCCGAACTTTGCCGACCAGCCAAAGTTGAAGATGACGGCAGCCTGGTCAGGTATTTTGCCGTGTTTGATCTCCCACTCTTCAATCTGAAGATAAAACAATCTTTTTTATTAAAAAATTATAACAATATAACGGGAGTGATCTCCCCTAAACTTTCTCGCATATTCTTATTTAACAGTCTGGGTTGGAATGACATTTCCAGTGCAATCGGGTTATAGAAATATAGAAATTTGTCATGAAACCTAACAGTTTTCGAGAAAACTCGTAGAAAAATTATTAGAACATGCTTGAGTAAAAAAAATGATACAAAAATAGTAAATTCTAAAGGTTTTTGTGAAATCAGAAATAGAAAAAAAATACGCCTTACGGTAACTGGAAATCGCTCAAAATATGACATATATTAATTTCTATCCACCAAACTGCAACGGTATTCGTTGTTTTAGATACCGGATTTAAGTACCACTTCTGGTTACCAGAAATCCTTCAAATTTCACAGAAACAATGAAACACTATTCCACGAATTACGAGAAAAATGAAAGTGTATGAGTATAATAAGTTTGTATTTTTTTTTTATTTTTTGTTTGTGCAGTTTTTCGTTGCGCATTTTTCTCGGATCCATACACAGACAGACAGACAGATAGACAAAACAATTTTTCCCGGTATGAAACGTTGATACAATTTTTACGATTAAAGCATTTCCTCCATACTTAATTTACGAGTAAGGAAATACGAGACAAAGACATTAAAATTCATCAAACAAAAATGAGACAAAACAGTTTTTAAATTGGCCTAACAAGAAATAAGACAAGACACTTTTCTTAGTTTCAAACAAGCGATTACATATGTAATCGATATAGGTTGTTTTTTAACAAAATTCACAAATGTCTTTGGTGCATTTGTCGACAGCTGTATCAAAACACAAAGTAAATTGTTAGGTGTAGTCACGTCAGGATTAACGAATATTTTTTAGAGTGCTTGAAACAAATTGTGTGAAAATATTTGAGAGTTCCATAAAAACTTTAAGTCTAATGTTTTTATTCTCAGAGATATTTGGTTTGATGAGACGTAATTTTTTTTTTAAATTTAATACGTGAAATCTTCCAAATTTTAAAATACGGTAATAACATCTTTCATTTGGTCTAAGAAAATCTTTTAGGTGATGTAAGCAGATATTTTAGAAAGCTTAAAAAATATCTTCATATTGTATAAGAAGAACTGACCTTCTCTTGACCTAACCTTCTCTATTGTGACCTCTGACCTTCTCTATAGTGACATGACCTTCTATAAAATGACCTGACCTCTAAAGTGACCTCTGGCCTTCTTTAAAGTGACCTAACAATCTCTAAATTGACCGGACCTTCTCTAAGGTGACCTGACCTTCTCTAAAGTGACCTGGTACTCCCGATCTTGTCTCGCCTCCTCTGAGCAGTCGATCATGACGCCTTCAGCGATCGTGTCCTCGATCGTCAACTTCTCAAGTGTTTTCGAACCTGGGAGCATGAGAATGAAGGTCGGTGTAAAGTGTGCACGACTAGTTCATGACTAAAGTCACATTCAACATTCCATTGGTCCGCCGGTGTCCGTCTGTCGGTGTCCGTCTGTCTGTCGGTGTCCGTCTGTCTGTCGGTGTCCGTCTGTCTGTCGGTGTCCGTCTGTCGGTGTCCGTCTGTCGGTGTCCGTCTGTCTGTCGGTGTCCGTCTGTCGGTGTCCGTCTGTCTGTCGGTGTCCGTCTGTCGGTCCGTCCGTCTGTCTGTCGGTGTCCGTCTGTGGGTGTCCGTCTGTCTGTCGGTGTCCGTCTGTCGGTGTCCGTCTGTCTGTCGGTGTCCGTCTGTCTGTCGGTGTCCGTCTGTCGGTGTCCGTCTGTCGGTGTCCGTCTGTCTGTCGGTGTCCGTCTGTCGGTGTCCGTCTGTCGGTGTCCGTCTGTCTGTCGGTGTCCGTCTGTCGGTGTCCGTCTGTCTGTCGGTGTCCGTCTGTCGGTCCGTCCGTCTGTCTGTCGGTGTCCGTCTGTCGGTGTCCGTCTGTCTGTCGGTGTCCGTCTGTCGGTGTCCGTCTGTCTGTCGGTGTCCGTCTGTCGGTGTCCGTCTGTCGGTGTCCGTCTGTCTGTCGGTGTCCGTCTGTCGGTCCGTCCGTCTGTCTGTCGGTGTCCGTCTGTCGGTGTCCGTCTGTCTGTCGGTGTCCGTCTGTCGGTGTCCGTCGGTCTGTCGGTGTCCGTCTGTCGGTGTCCGTCTGTCTGTCGGTGTCCGTCTGTCGGTTTCCGTCTGTCTGTCGGTGTCCGTCTGTCGGTGTCCGTCTGTCTGTCGGTGTCCGTCTGTCGGTGTCCGTCTGTCTGTCGGTGTACGTCTGTCGGGGTCCGTCGGTTTTATTTCTATCAAACCGCTGGTTTTATGGTTGCAACCAGTTAAATATTGTTAGCTTATGTACATCTTACCTTTACTGAAGTGTGACATGTACAACTCACCTTTACTGAAGTGTGACGGTGTGTACAACTCACCCTTACTGAAGTGTGACGTGTACAGCTCACCTTTACTGAAGTGTGACGTGTACAGCTCGACTTTACTGAAGTGTGACGGTGTGTACAACTCACCTTTACTGAAGTGTGACGTGTACAGCTCACCTTTACTGAAGTGTGACGTGTACAATTCACCTTTACTGAAGTGTGACGTGTACAGCTCACCTTTACTGAAGTGTGACGTGTACAATTCACCTTTACTGAAGTGTGACGTGTACAATTCACCTTTACTGAAGTGTGACGTGTACAACTCACCTTTACTGAAGTGTGACGGTGTGTACAACTCACCTTTACTGAAGTGTGACGTGTACAACTCACCTTTACTGAAGTGTGACGTGTACAGCTCGACTTTACTGAAGTGTGACGTGTACAATTCACTTTTACTGAAGTGTGACGGTGTGTATAACTCACCTTTACTGAAGTGTGACGTGTACAATTCACCTTTACTGAAGTGTGACGGTGCGTACAACTCACCTTTACTGAAGTGTGACGGTGTACAACTCACCTTTACTGAAGTGTGACGGAGCGTCAATGTGCGTCCCAACATGTTCCCCGATGCTGTAAGCTCCTGACTCCATACTTGGGATAAATATGAGAACATATACTTGGGATAAAGATGAGAACTTAGAGCTCAAAAGTTCATGACTGAGTAGCTTAAAAACGAACTCTGACACTACCCACACGCTAGCCTTACAACCACTAACCACACGCTAGACTTACAACCACTAACCCTAACCAACCAGCTAATCCAACGACCACAACTGTCATGTTTCCAGTGTAGGCTTAACCTTAGCAGTACTGGACATGGTGTGGTCGAATGCTAGAGCTCACCGTACTAACCCCAAAGTCCAGAGTTCGTCTTCAGTACTAATTGAGTCTCTGTGACGAGCTAGTTCTTGTGATTGTGTGTGTGTTGTGTGTGTTGTGTGTGTGTTGTGTGTGTGTTGTGTGTGTGTGTTGTGTGTGTTGTGTGTGTGTTGTGTGTGTGTTGTGTGTGTGTTGTGTGTGTGTTGTGTGTGTTGTGTGTGTGTGTTGTGTGTGTTGTGTGTGTGTTGTGTGCTCAGATGACAGGTACACTCTATTTGTATATCGTTGTTGCCCTTGATTGAGTGTGTAGAGTGTGTTTTAGCCGGTTGTCTAGTGCGCTAAACGATGTGCTGTCTTGTATTTATTATCATAGAGAGCAGAACTCAAAACGAGTGAGCTCTTATGGGTACCTAACGCGGTACCTGACGCGGTACCTGACGCGGTACCTGACGCGGTACCTGACGCGGTACCTGACGCTGTACCTGACACGGTACCTGTCGCGAGACAGTGAGGAGTAGAGAACAAAATCCTGTTCCCACAGTTCCAATTCATTTTTTATGCCGAGGCTGACGTATAGGCGACCTCTTCTTAACCTACACCCTCCCCCCCCCCATACCTCAAAGTTAACTCTAAAAATACAAGATTATTATTAACGACTGACTACATCAATGAGCACTGCACATAAGAAGGAAAAGAAACTTACTAAACTCCTAGATTTATTCCCAGAAACAGTTCGGACCAGTTGTACTTTGGTGCGCCGAACGGCGCGAAGCTGTTTCTGTCTATCACATGTGACAGGTCTATCGTCCGGCACAGCACGACGTCCATCAGGATCAGCAGGGTCCAGCAAAAAAGGTTAGGGTTCATGGCTGGTCACGTGGTCTGTACGCCGTCTATGTAGAAGGTAGAGATCACGTGGTCTAACGTAGTCTACACAGAAGGTAGAGATCACGTGGTCTGTACGCCGTCTATGTAGAAGGTAGAGATCACGTGGTCTGTACGCCGTCTATGTAGAAGGTAGAGATCACGTGGTCTAACGTAGTCTACACAGAAGGTAGAGATCACGTGGTCTGTACGCCGTCTATGTAGAAGGTAGAGATCACGTGGTCTGTACGCCGTCTATGTAGAAGGTAGAGATCACGTGGTCTAACGTAGTCTACACAGAAGGTAGAGATCACGTGGTCTGTACGCCGTCTATGTAGAAGGTAGAGATCACGTGGTCTGTACGCCGTCTATGTAGAAGGTAGAGATCACGTGGTCTAACGTAGTCTACACAGAAGGTAGAGATCACGTGGTCTGTACGCCGTCTATGTAGAAGGTAGAGATCACGTGGTCTGTACGCCGTCTATGTAGAAGGTAGAGATCACGTGGTCTAACGTAGTCTACACAGAAGGTAGAGATCACGTGGTCTGTACGCCGTCTATGTAGAAGGTAGAGATCACGTGGTCTGTACGCCGTCTATGTAGAAGGTAGAGATCACGTGGTCTAACGTAGTCTACACAGAAGGTAGAGATCACGTGGTCTGTACGCCGTCTATGTAGAAGGTAGAGATCACGTGGTCTGTACGCCGTCTATGTAGAAGGTAGAGATCACGTGGTCTAACGTAGTCTACACAGAAGGTAGAGATCACGTGGTCTGTACGCCGTCTATGTAGAAGGTAGAGATCACGTGGTCTGTACGCCGTCTATGTAGAAGGTAGAGATCACGTGGTCTAACGTAGTCTACACAGAAGGTAGAGATCACGTGGTCTGTACGCCGTCTATGTAGAAGGTAGAGATCACGTGGTCTGTACGCCGTCTATGTAGAAGGTAGAGATCACGTGGTCTAACGTAGTCTACACAGAAGGTAGAGATCACGTGGTCTGTACGCCGTCTATGTAGAAGGTAGAGATCACGTGGTCTGTACGCCGTCTATGTAGAAGGTAGAGATCACGTGGTCTAACGTAGTCTACACAGAAGGTAGAGATCACGTGGTCTGTACGCCGTCTATGTAGAAGGTAGAGATCACGTGGTCTGTACGCCGTCTATGTAGAAGGTAGAGATCACGTGGTCTAACGTAGTCTACACAGAAGGTAGAGATCACGTGGTCTGTATGCCGTCTATGTAGAAGGTAGAGATCACGTGGTCTGTACGCCGTCTATGTAGAAGGTAGAGATCACGTGGTCTAACGTAGTCTACACAGAAGGTAGAGATCACGTGGTCTGTACGCCGTCTATGTAGAAGGTAGAGATCACGTGGTCTGTACGCCGTCTATGTAGAAGGTAGAGATCACGTGGTCTAACGTAGTCTACACAGAAGGTAGAGATCACGTGGTCTGTACGCCGTCTATGTAGAAGGTAGAGATCACGTGGTCTGTACGCCGTCTATGTAGAAGGTAGAGATCACGTGATCTAACGTAGTCTACACAGAAGGTAGAGATCACGTGGTCTGTACGCCGTCTATGTAGAAGGTAGAGATCACGTGGTCTAACGTAGTCTACACAGAAGGTAGAGATCTGGCTAGACTGTTTTTGTGGTTTTTTGTTTACTATAAGACGTGTGTATTTTTGACTACAGCTTTCAATGAAACACACCGGTTTGTTAGAAGCTGCTATAACATTTTACACATGTGATACGATCAAAAGCTACAAAAAACGCTCAAGAAAGAGTTCGGATAAAGAATTCAAAATACATTTGCTTACCATTTGGTTGTAGAATTTATCAAGTTAAACGGGTTTTTTTTTCTAAACTTAACGTTAACCATAACAAACCTTATATGAAGTTCTTGAGACAGTTTTTCCAGCTAAACCTAGGTGGGTTTAACGCAAAACTTAACCTGTCTTAACACACGTGATCACGTTGGTCGGTTTGATTGTAGGTCACATCAGTGGGTCACATCAGTGGGTCACATCAATGGGTCACATAAGTGGGTCACATCAATGGGTCACATAAGTGGGTCACATCAGTGGGTCACATCAGTGGGTCACATCAGTGGGTCACATCAATGGGTCACATAAGTGGGTCACATCAATGGGTCACATAAGTGGGTCACATCAGTGGGTCACATAAGTGGGTCACATCAGTGGGTCACAACAGCGGGTAATCAATAGTGTCTACATAGAGGGTCCACGCCAGTGTCCACACTACATTATCCACGCCAGTGCCCACACTACTCTGTCCACGCCAGTGTCCACACTACCCTGTCCACGCCAGTGTCCACACTACCCTGTCCACGCTAGTCTGTCTACACTGATGTAGAGCCTACTCATGTAACTTGACTTTTCCTTTTCTTAACAAAACTAGAGCCTATTTTCAAAAACTTTCTACGAAAACAACTTGATCTATACACATTTTAAATTATTGTATTTATTACATTTTAAAGCGTTCATAGAAAAATAAATTGAGACTAAAATTATACAATAAGAATTGAGCACACCTTGATTACAAGTTCACCAATCACCTTAATTACACTAGATAAAAATGTAAAGTTAATTAGTTAAATGAAAAAAAAAGTCTTACTGCTAAAAACAAAGAACGGACGGTGTCCAGGTATCACAACAACACACGCACACATGCACGCGCGTTGAGTAGTCGTGCAAAGCTCCTTTGTGCTGCTCGTGAGCTACGAGTCAGCAGATCGTGCGCGTCATGAAGCGCGTGGTATGCGGGCATTTGATGCCCTACTGCTGCCCTCGTGGGAACGGGAAACACGAGCTGTTTTTGTCACGTGATCTCATACCCTCTAATTCCGAGGGATAAGCGAAGATGCTGTGTTCATGGGGCTGGTACACAAACACACATTTATTGGTGTACATCGTCAGGTGTACATCCAGATGTCTATTGATGTGTACATCCAGATGTCTACATAATGATGTGATGTGTACATCCAGATGTCTACATATTGATGTGATGTGTACATCCAGATGTCTACATATTGATGTGATATTAGGTATATAAACCAACAAGTTAGAATAAAATGATGTAACATATTTTTTCCATGCACGTTATATGTATGAGAAGTGATCATGTGAGGGGTGAGGGAGTAACACTACGTTTACTCAACAACCCCACACTTGTAAGCTAATACACAAGCAGCATTATAAATGTTATCAAACACACAGCATCAAGCTATGAATTATAAATGACTAAAATTTTCGGGGGAGGGGGGGGGCGGACACTGTTCCTTTTCGTTTGGGGGGGGGGCGGTAAACTTTCTTCGCACCCCCCCCCCCCCCCCCCCCGAAGAGATGCTTAGAAGAAACTCTGATCAAGCTATGGCTATAAATGTTATCAAACACACAGCATCAAGCTATGGCTTATCAAACACATAGCATCAAGCTATGGCTATAAATGTTATCAAACACACAGCATCAAGCTATGGCTATAAATGTTATCAAACACACAGCATCAAGCTATGTCTATATATGTTATCAAACACACAGCATCAAGCTATGGCTTATCAAACACATAGCATCAAGCTATGGCTATAAATGTTATCAAACACACAGCATCAAGCCATGGCTATAAATGTTATCAAACACACAACATCAAGTTATGGCTATAAATGTTATCAAACACAGCATCAAGCTATGGCTATAAATGTTATCAAACACACAGCATCAAGCTATGGCTATAAATGTTATCAAACACACAGCATCAAGCTATGGCTATAAATGTTATCAAACACAGCATCAAACTATGGCTATAAATGTTATCAAACACAGCATCAAGCTATGGCTATAAATGTTATCAAACATAGCATCAAGCTATGGCTATAAATGTTATCAAACACACAGCATCAAGCTATGGCTATAAATGTTATCAAACACAGCATCAAGCTATGGCTATAAATGTTATCAAACATAGCATCAAGCTATGGCTATAAATGTTATCAAACACACAGCATCAAGCTATGGCTATAAATGTTATCAAACATAGCATCAAGCTATGGCTATAAATGTTATCAAACATAGCATCAAGCTATGGCTATAAATGTTATCAAACACACAGCATCAAGCTATGGCTATAAATGTTATCAAACACACAGCATCAAGCTATGGCTATAAATGTTATCAAACACAGCATCAAGCTATGGCTATAAATGTTATCAAACACACAGCATCAAGCTATGGCTATAAATGTTATCAAACATAGCATCAAGCTATGGCTATAAATGTTATCAAACACACAGCATTAAGCTATGCCTATAAATGTTATCAAACACACAGCATCAAGCTATGGCTATAAATGTTATCAAATACATAGCATCAAGCTATGGCTATAAATGTTATCAAACACACAGCATCAAGCTATGGCTATAAATGTTATCAAACACACAGCATCAAGCTATGGCTATAAATGTTATCAAATACATAGCATTAAGCTATGGCTATAAATGTTATCAAACACAGCATCAAGCTATGGCTATAAATGTTATCAAACACACAGCATCAAGCTATGGCTATAAATGTTATCAAACACACAGCATCAAGCTATGGCTATAAATGTTATCAAACACACAGCATCAAGCTATGGCTATAAATGTTATCAAACACACAGCATTAAGCTATGGCTATAAATGTTATCAAACACACAGCATCAAGCTATGGCTATAAATGTTATCAAACACACAGCATCAAGCTATGGCTATAAATGTTATCAAACACACAGCATCAAGCTATGGCTATAAATGTTATCAAACACACAGCATCAAGCTATGGCTATAAATGTTATCAAACACACAGCATAAAGCTATGGCTATAAATGTTATCAAACACACAGCATCAAGCTATGGCTATAAATGTTATCAAACACACAGCATTAAGCTATGGCTATAAATGTTATCAAACACACAGCATCAAGCTATGGCTATAAATGTTATCAAACACACAGCATCAAGCTATGGCTATAAATGTTATCAAACACACAGCATCAAGCTATGGCTATAAATGTTATCAAACACACAGCATCAAGCTATGGCTATAAATGTTATCAAACACACAGCATTAAGCTATGGCTATAAATGTTATCAAACACACAGCATCAAGCTATGGCTATAAATGTTATCAAACACATAGCATCAAGCTATGGCTATAAATGTTATCAAACACACAGCATCAAGCTATGGCTATAAATGTTATCAAACACACAGCATAAAGCTATGGCTATAAATGTTATCAAACACACAGCATCAAGCTATGGCTATAAATGTTATCAAACACACAGCATTAAGCTATGGCTATAAATGTTATCAAACACACAGCATCAAGCTATGGCTGTAAATGTTATCAAACACACAGCATCAAGCTATGGCTATAAATGTTATCAAACACACAGCATCAAGCTATGGCTATAAATGTTATCAAACACACAGCATCAAGCTATGGCTATAAATGTTATCAAACACAGCATCAAGCTATGGCTATAAATGTTATCAAACACAGTATCAAGCTATGGCTATAAATGTTATCAAACACAGCATCAAGCTATGGCTATAAATGTTATCAAACACCGGAATCAGCCCACGGCGCATCCTCTCGACGCACCCAGCAGGGAACAAGATAAAAATAGCAACAAGATAAAAATAGCAACAGTTAGCGAGGAGGGCAGGTCTGTGGCTCGTCTAACCGTACGGCCTGAGAGCCGGCTAACCGGATCCGGCATACATATTTGTCGGATAAAACAAGGCTGCGAATACATAATTTTAACTCTACATTTTACTTCTTGAAATTAAGATTTTCCTATCACAAAGTCTTTAAAACATTGAATTGGCTGATACGTTTTCGATTTTCGTGTGAAATCCTGGTGACAAACGGCATTTTAACCGATTGCCTTCACCGAACACATTTATCTACAGCGACAATAATGTGCAGATGTTTTAAAATTTATTTTACTTTTAGTTGCCGGGATCAGGTGTAGAGAAAAACACAAAATGCGCGTTACAGTTAAGAAACAACTGAATTGTTAAACTACAACCAAAAGGCTGATGCTTGTGGTCAAGTAGGACGACTTATTCCAATAAACCGGGAGTGATCTCCCCTAAACTTTATCGAATATTCTTATACAACACTACGGAAGATGGCACATCTCGATAAAGACATGATTTTTAATCCATTTTTAATTACTCAACTTTTTAAAATAGAATAGAATCTCGTAGAAAAAAGAAGTGCACACCAAGTGAACGATAAACAGTATGTGTATGATAGTGCGCAATATGCGGGTTTTTTTTTTGAGAAATCGGAAATAGCGTAAATTGCTACTTCCGGTCAACGGAAATTACTCAAAATTTGACAGATGACAGAGAATTAGAAATTTCTTTATCTATCTGAAACAGTACTCAAGTTATAGCTTTTGAAAACTTGAAAGTAGAATAAGTTCCCTTTCCGGTTACCGGAAATAGCTGAAAAGTTGATACAAAACTACAAATTTGATAGTATACTGATATATGAAATTTCATCAACCTAGCTATAACGGTACTCAAGTTATCGTGTTTACAGACACACACACACACATACAGAGAGAGAGAGAGAGAGAGAGAGAGAGAGAGGGGGGGGGGGCGGAAACATACGGACAAGATTGCAAAACTATGTTTTTCCGAATCAGGGAGGTGGAAAACGTCGAGATTTGCAAAATTCTCGGTTGTTGTTGTTTTGTTTTTTTTTGTGCACGATTACAATACTTTCTCTATACTTCGTATACGAGAGAGTAAAAAGATTGACATTCAAAAGAAGTTGTATATTATTGCTATAAACAGCCAACTGCAACCAACCCAAGTAAAACAAAACAACAACACCTTAAGCAATAGTCACGTGTTACTTCTGCTGTTGTTTTTTACTTTCTCGTATATACGTAGTATAGAGAAAGTATTGTAATCGTGCAAAAAAAAAAAAATCGAGATTTTTACAAATCTCGACGTTTTACACCTCACTGATACGGAAAAACATAATTTTGCAATCTTGTCCGTATGTCTGTGTGTGTGTGTGTGTGTGTGTGTGTGTGTGTGTGTGTGTGTGTGTCTGTGTGTCTGTCTGTCCGTGTGTAAACACGATAACTTGAGTACCGTTACAGCTATGTTGATGAAATTTCATATATAAGTATTTTAAAAATCGTAGATCCGTATCAACTTTTGAGCGATTTCGAATAACCGAAGGTGGTACTTTTCCTACTTTGAATTTTTCAAAAGCCTATAACTTGAGTACTATTTCAGATAGATAAATGAAATTTCACATGTAAGTAAAAGATCTAATTCTCTACCTTCTGTTAAATTTTGAATAATTTCCGTTGACCGGAAGTAGTAATTTACGCTACTTCCGATTTCTCAAAAAACTAATGTAAATTTATTAAGTACTAATACTATTGCGCACTATTATACACACCTTTATTAGGCGTTCGCTTGGTGCGCAATTGTTTTTTACTGAGATTCTATTCTATTTTTACAAGCTTTTATTTAACTCACTTCCTCTGTCGTCAGTCGTAAGTCTGTCTAGACGGAAACGCAGGAGTGAAAATTCGGAAACTTCTACTTGACCGATACGATTCACACTTGGCACTTGGGTCAAGACATGAAGACAATGCAATCTGAAACTAAATTTGACTTAATTGGATGCCTAATTAATTTTTTATGAATTAATTAAAATTTGGACCGAATTAGTAGGCATGTCTAGCCAACCACACCACATGCGTCATCACCTTCAATAGCTGCGCCATCACGTAATAGCTGCGTTCAAAAACCATTGCGCGCCAACTGAACGTGATGTTCAGTAGGCGCGCAATGGTTTTTAGTCATGTAACTCTATTGTAAATAAAACATGTAAAGTACTGAAAAAAAAATTCATAAAAAAACGTTTTAATAACAAGCTTTTATGTAATGATGCACTAAAAAGTAGAAAATAAATTAAAGACTACTATTTAAATAACTATAAAGAAAAGCGTGGGTGTCTTCCTTAACATTAGTAAAGGTATCCAATAGATACTAAAGTGACCCACGCTTTTCTTTATAGTTATTTAAATAGTAGTCTATAATTTATTTTCTACTTTTTAGTGCATCATTACATAAAAGCTTGTTATTAAAACGTTTTTTATGAATTTTTTTACAAGCTTTTATTTAACTCACTTCCTCTGTCGTCAGTCGTCAGTCGTCAGTCTAGACGGAAACGCAGGAGTGAAAATTCGGACAGTTCTACTTGACCGATACGATTCACAGTTGGCACGTGGGTCAAGACATGAAGACAATGCAATCTGAAACTAAATTTGACTTAATTGGATGCCTAATTAATTTTTTATTAATTAATTAAAATTTGGACCGAATTAGTAGGCATGTCTAGCCAACCACACCACACGCGTCATCACCTTCAATAGCTTCAATGGCTGCGTTCAAAAACCATTGCGCGCCTACTGAACGTGATGTTCAGTAGGCGCGCAATGGTTTTTAGTCATGTAACTCTATTGTAAATAAAACATGTAAAGTACTGAAAAAAAAATTCATAAAAAACGTTTTAATAACAAGCTTTTATGTAATGATGCACTAAAAAGTAGAAAATAAATTATAGACTACTATTTAAATAACTATAAAGAAAAGCGTGGGTCACTTTAGTATCTATTGGATACCTTTACTAATGTTAAGGAAGACACCCACGCTTTTCTTTATAGTTATTTAAATAGTAGTCTATAATTTATTTTCTACTTTTTAGTGCATCATTACATAAAAGCTTGTTATTAAAACGTTTTTATGAATTTTTTTAGTCATGTAACTCTATTGTAAATAAAACATGTAAAGTACTGAAAAAAAAATTCATAAAAAACGTTTTAATAACAAGCTTTTATGTAACAATGCACTAAAAAGTAGAAAATAAATTATAGACTACTATTTAAATAACTATAAAGAAAAGCGTGGGTGTCTTCCTTAACATTAGTAAAGGTATCCAATAGATACTAAAGTGACCCACGCTTTTCTTTATAGTTATTTAAATAGTAGTCTATAATTTATTTTCTACTTTTTAGTGCATCATTACATAAAAGCTTGTTATTAAAACGTTTTTTATGAATTTTTTTACAAGCTTTTATTTAACTCACTTCCTCTGTCGTCAGTCGTCAGTCGTCAGTCTAGACGGAAACGCAGGAGTGAAAATTCGGACAGTTCTACTTGACCGATACGATTCACAGTTGGCACGTGGGTCAAGACATGAAGACAATGCAATCTGAAACTAAATTTGACTTAATTGGATGCCTAATTAATTTTTTATTAATTAATTAAAATTTGGACCGAATTAGTAGGCATGTCTAGCCAACCACACCACACGCGTCATCACCTTCAATAGCTTCAATGGCTGCGTTCAAAAACCATTGCGCGCCTACTGAACGTGATGTTCAGTAGGCGCGCAATGGTTTTTACAAGCTTTTATTTAACTCACTTCCTCGTCAGTCTGTCGTCAGTCTGTCTAGACGGAAACGCAGGAGTGAAAATTCGGACAGTTCTACTTGACCGATACGATTCACAGTTGGCACGTGGGTCAAGACATGAAGACAATGCAATCTGAATCTAAATTTGACTTAATTGGATGCCTAATTAATTTTTTATGAATTAATAAAAATTTGGACCGAATTAGTAGGCATGTCTAGCCAACCACACCACACGCGTCATCACCTTCAATAGCTTCAATGGCTGCGTTCAAAAACCATTGCGCGCCTACTGAACGTGATGTTCAGTAGGCGCGCAATGGTTTTTAGTCATGTAACTCTATTGTAAATAAAACATGTAAAGTACTGAAAAAAAAATTCATAAAAAACGTTTTAATAACAAGCTTTTATGTAATGATGCACTAAAAAGTAGAAAATAAATTATAGACTACTATTTAAATAACTATAAAGAAAAGCGTGGGTCACTTTAGTATCTATTGGATACCTTTACTAATGTTAAGGAAGACACCCACGCTTTTCTTTATAGTTATTTAAATAGTAGTCTATAATTTATTTTCTACTTTTTAGTGCATCATTACATAAAAGCTTGTTATTAAAACGTTTTTTATGAATTTTTTTAGTCATGTAACTCTATTGTAAATAAAACATGTAAAGTACTGAAAAAAAAATTCATAAAAAACGTTTTAATAACAAGCTTTTATGTAACAATGCACTAAAAAGTAGAAAATAAATTATAGACTACTATTTAAATAACTATAAAGAAAAGCGTGGGTGTCTTCCTTAACATTAGTAAAGGTATCCAATAGATACTAAAGTGACCCACGCTTTTCTTTATAGTTATTTAAATAGTAGTCTATAATTTTTTTTCTACTTTTTAGTGCATTGTTACATAAAAGCTTGTTATTAAAACGTTTTTTATGAATTTTTTTTACAAGCTTTTATTTAACTCGCTTCCTCTGTCGTCAGTCGTCAGTCTAGACGGAAACGCAGGAGTGAAAATTCGGACAGTTCTACTTGACCGATACGATTCACAGTTGGCACGTGGGTCAAGACATGAAGACAATGCAATCTGAAACTAAATTTGACTTAATTGGATGCCTAATTAATTTTTTATTAATTAATTAAAATTTGGACCGAATTAGTAGGCATGTCTAGCCAACCACACCACACGCGTCATCACCTTCAATAGCTGCGCCATCACGTAATGGCTGCGTTCAAAAACCATTGCGCGCCTACTGAACGTGATGTTCAGTAGGCGCGCAATGGTTTTTAGTCATGTAACTCTATTGTAAATAAAACATGTAAAATACTGAAAAAAAAATCATAAAAAACGTTTTAATAACAAGCTTTTATGTAACAATGCACTAAAAAGTAGAAAATAAATTATAGACTACTATTTAAATAACTATAAAGAAAAGCGTGGGTGTCTTCCTTAACATTAGTAAAGGTATCCAATAGATACTAAAGTGACCCACGCTTTTCTTTATAGTTATTTAAATAGTAGTCTATAATTTATTTTCTACTTTTTAGTGCATCATTACATAAAAGCTTGTTATTAAAACGTTTTTTATGAATTTTTAAAAGTTTAAGTATTTAAAATGGATTAAAAATCATAACTATATCCCCAGTTACCATCCACTGTTGTTTTATATAAGAATATTCGAGAAAGTTTAGGGGAGATCACTACCGGTTTATTTATAGCTACAGCAGGAAATATGTTTTCACTAAAGTAGTGAATACGTTTGTGTTTGATGATTTCCATTCCTCAAATCACTACCTGCTACAGCAGGAAATATGTTTTCACTAAAGTAGTGAATACGTTTGTGTTTGATGATTTCCATTCCACACATCACTACCTGAAACTCAAGTCAAATACAACTCTCGTGAACTTTCATAAATCAAAATACAACACTCGTGAATTTTCGTGAATCTTTGGTTTATTGCTCATCACTGCCATCTGAAGGGGTATAATTGTTATAAGAGTAAGAAAGTCGGTCTCTGTTTTGTTACACGATATTTTTGGTTAAATTCCAGCCTTACTCCAAAACAATATGTCTCTATATCTTTAACATATTGTTATGTATATGGACTCTCTCTTGTCAACGGTCTTTACCAGCGCAGGGAAGACTAGACTAGAAGCCTCTAGCTAGAAGCCGAGGGATAGTTCGGTCAGTGGACGACTCGTGGGGCAGGTCGGTCAGGGGTCGACCCGTGGGGCAGGTCGGTCAGGGGTCGACCCGAGGGGTAGTTCGGTCAGTGGACGACCCGAGGGGTAGTTCGGTCCGGTGACGACCCGAGGGGTAGTTCGGTCAGTGGACGACCCGTGGGGCAGGTCGGTCAGGGGTCGACCCGAGGGGTAGTTCGGTCAATGGTACCCAGCGTTTCGAACTCGTGATTTTTGAGTTAGCAAACTACGCCGTTCTCAGCTATATAGAATTTATGATAATATATGATTTGTCTAACTAATTGTAGGTTATGTCAAACGTAAATAGGTATATTTATGTATATAGGCATACATCTAACACTCACACACAAACACACACACACACATATATATATAGGCATATATTTATAGATTGTATATATAGGCATTATATATATATATATATATATATATATATATATATATATATATATATATATATATATGATTAAACTTTATATGAGTGTGAGTTACCTGACGGAACTGTATAACAGTCGAAGTTATTTACACAGAATATAAAATATTGTTTTCAAATAGTTTAGAAAACACAACACATGCATGCACCAAACAAAGTCTGATAAAACTAATACACGAGTGCAGCCAGCAGTGCCACGGTCACCAGCGAGATGACGGTCGTGGCGGCACCATTCCAGGCGGACGCCGAGTTTCCTCCGGTGCTGTCGCCGATGACGGCAAAGGCCCTGACTTGGGCGCCGGTGCTTTGGTGGAACTTGACCGGGCTGGCGTAGAACCTGAATCCCCGGGGTGGGAGCTGGTCGGTGGCGTTCAAATTCTCCACGATGACCCTGTTTCTGGCCAGGTACCTCTGGTGGATGGGCATGCCGTCTACCTGCACACCTTTGATGGTGAAGGGGTCAGGGCTCATGACGTCAGCGCCGATGATTTTGATGTCACGTTGTCGTAGGAGGAATTCTCCAGCCTCCTCGCTGATGGTTGGGAACACGAAGTTACTGGGGGGGGGGGGGGAAGAGGGAGGTTTAACATTGAGTAGGGGGTTAAAGCAATGATTTAAATGAGGCTTTGGATCAGTCAGTTTAGTTGTTTAGTTTAGAAATGTGATAAAGCTTTAGTTGTGGGTCTACTACAAACGGTGGGTTGACTAGAGTCGGGTGCCCATCAGAGCTGGGTGGACTAGAGTCAGGTACCCATCAGAGCTGGGTGGACTAGAGTCAGGTACCCATCAGAGTTGGGTGGACTAGAGTCAGGTACCCATCAGAGTTGGGTGGACTAGAGTCAGGTACCCATCAGAGTTGGGTGGACTAGAGTCAGGTACCCATCAGAGCTGGGTGTACTAGAGTCAGGTACCCATCAGAGCTGGGTGGACTAGAGTCAGGTACCCATCAGAGTTGGGTGGACTAGAGTCAGGTACCCATCAGAGCTGGGTGGACTAGAGTCAGGTACCCATCAGAGCTGGGTGGACTAGAGTCAGGTACAGAGCAGGATGTACTAGAGTCAGGTACCAATTAAAACTGAGTGAATCAAGCAACCTACTCTGTGATTGCCGCGCTAGTGCCAACGAACTTGACGGGGTCATCAAAAAACTTGAACCAGCCGAAGTTGAAGATGACGGCAGCCTGTTGGGGGATGGGGCCGTGTTCACTCTCCCAGCTCTCGATCTGTTGGAGGAGGGGTGGGTGGGAACTGGTCAGTGAAATGTGTCGATATTTTGTTAACTCACATTTTGAATTATTATTGTGAAACAGAGAACGAGACTGAATGACGTTAGCCTACTTAGACTTAAGAGGGACACTCGAAATGTTTTATGAGCATTCAAATATGAATTACTTTTATTGTTACTAAAAATAGTTTTTTTTAGAAATGTACAAGCATCATGTGGCTTCTAGATCAGACGGCTCACACTTAATGGGGTTTAATGAATGTTGAGTTTTGTTAAAGAACAGTTGGAGATAAAGGGGCAGTGATGAATCATGTGTTGCCTACCTTTCTCACTGTAAAGATGCAGTGATAAGTGATGTGTTGCATACCTTGCCCACTGTGAAAGTGCTGTAATGTATGATGTGTTTCCTACCTTACCCACTGTAGAGATGCAGTGATAAGTGATGTGTTTCCTACCTTACCCACTGTAGAGATGCAGTGATAAGTGATGTGTTTCCTACTTTACCCACCATGATAAGTGATGTGTTTCCTACCTTACCCACTATGATGAATGATGGGTTGCCTACCTTCTCCACTGTGACCTGGTACCTTGGATTCTGCCTGGCTTCTTCAGAGCAGTCGATCATGACGCCCTCAGCTATGGTGTTTTCTATCGGTAGAAACTCCAGAGTCAGCCCACCTGGGGACACACCGACACAGGTGAAGATAGTTTTGGACACACGGGGACAGGTGCAGATAGTTTTGGACACACGGACACAGGTGCAGATAGTTTTGGAAAAACACAGGTGCAGATAGTTTTGGACACACTGACACAGGTGCAGATAGTTTTGGACACACGGACACAGGTGTAGATAGTTTTGGACACACGGACACAGGTGCAGATAGTTTTGGACACACGGACACAGGTGCAGATAGTTTTGGACACACGGACACAGGTGCAGATAGTTTTGGACACACGGACACAGGTGCAGATAGTTTTAGACACACGGACACAGGTGCAGATAGTTTTGGACACACAGGGACAGGTGCATATAGTTTTGGACACACGGACACAGGTGCAGATAGTTTTGGACACACGGACACATGTGCAGATAGTTTTGGACACACGGACACAGGTGCAGATAGTTTTAGACACACGGACACAGGTGCATATAGTTTTGGACACACGGGGACAGGTGCAGATAGTTTTGGACACACGGACACAGGTGCAGATAGTTTTGGACACACGGGGAAAAGTGCAGAGAATTTTGTTTTTCAGGGTCTAAAACTAGAATCAAATTACCATTATAGGATGAGGGGGGTGAAACTTTCCAAGCGAAAATCATTTCATTAACTATTCACCGTATAGGCCAATGTAATTATTATCAAGTGATAAGAGTGAGCAAACTAATTGCCGTGTAGTTTAATTATTTAATTAAATGAACTTGGCTAGTTTAATTATTATCAAGTGATAAGAGTGAGCAAACTAATTGCCGTGTAGTTTAGTTATTTAATTAAATGAACTAGTGCTGCACATCTACCTTTAACAAAGTGTGCGGGGGCGTCAAGGTGTGTCCCGCCATGTTCGCCGGTAGAGTAGCTTCCAGTCTCGTAGCTTTAATGAGAGAGATTAATTAATTAAATCTGTGTGTCCGTAGCTTTAATGAGAGAGATTAATTAATTAAATCTTTGTGTCCACAGCTTTAATGAGAGAGATTAATTAATTAAATCTTTGTATCCGTAGCTTTAATGAGAGGAATTAATTAATTAAATCTTTGTGTCCGTAGCTTTAATTATAGAGATTAATTAATTAAATTCGTGTGTCCGTAGCTTTAATGAGAGAAATTAATTAATTAAATTCGTGTGTTCGTAGCTTTAATGAGAGAAATTAGTTAATTAAATCTTTGTGTCCGTAGCTTTAATGAGAGAGATTAATTAATTAAATCTTTGTGTCCGTAGCTTTAATGAGAGAGATTAATTAATTAAATCTTTGTGTCCGTAGCTTTAATGAGAGAGATTAATTAATTAAATTTAATTTGCTGTGTCTGGTACAGGTCGACTTTACAATGTTCACACAAACTTCTTACCAATTTCTGTCAGTGCCATTTAGGAAGTCAGACAGGTAATAAATTTAATGGACTGTTTAAATCACATCACGACGTTGTCAAGTAGAGGTTCAACATTCAACAAACCTCTGTGTTAATTACTCTCACACAAATTAGCCCTAATTATTAACATAATCTACAAACTTTGCTGCTAATTAACTACTTTTAGACCATCCCTAATTTATAATTGACAGCTATTCTGGAAATTAAAAAAAAAAACAGCCAACTTACTAATTATTTTTCTTTGTATCGTCCCGTTTAGAGATTTGGTTCCATTTATATTTGGGCATCCCAGGTACCATAAAGGTGTTCGGTTTGTGTGCATGAGAGAGGTCAATCACCTTGGAATACGCCCCTGCTAGTATCAGGGCCGTACACACCCAGCTCAAGTAACGTGGGTCCATGTTTCACTAGTGGGTGTGTCCTGCTGTCCAGTGGGTGTGTCCTGCTCTCCAGTGGGTGTGTCCTGCTCTCCAGTGGGTGTGTCCTGCTCTCCAGTGGGTGTGTCCTGTTCTCTAGTGGAATGTGTCCTGTTCTCTACTGCGATGTGTCCTGTTCTCTAGTCTGCATATCTACCTTTAACAAAGTGGGCGGGGCGTTCTATCGTGGGTGTGTTCTGTTCTCTACTGAGTGTGCCCTGTTTGAAAGAAAATGTATATTGCCAACAAACACAAAATTCAACAAATAAATCCTACAGTTAAATCCTACCTTCCAGAGTTGTTAGTAAATTCCGTATAATTCGTACACACTCTACACAGTATGTAATAATCGTAAACAGTATAGTAATCGCATAAACAATGTAATAGTCGTAGACACCAAGCTGCACTCGCATACTGTAATAATCGTATTTACCCAGCAGTAATCGTACACACACAGCAGTAATCGTACACACAGCAGTAATCGTACACACAGCAGTAATCGTACACACAGCAGTAATCACACACACAGCAGTAATCGTACACACAGCAGTAATCGTACACACCTGTCAGTAATCGGACAAACACTGTAGCAACCGTAAACATTCTCTAGTAATCGTACACGCAATAAAATTATCGAGTCCCCTAATGAATTACATCACCCTCCCCATGACTACCCGCCTAATGAGATCATCTCCCCTTATAGAACAAGTCGCGTGAAAAACTCTACACCCCCACTCACCCATCCACATGCTTGCCTCCTTTCTTCACGAGCAGCTGCAGAAAATTAACCCTTGCCCCGTGAATCAAGCCGTTCGTTAAAGGGTTAATTCATCTGCAGTAAACTTAAGTTGCCTGCGATAAACAAATTAGATAATTTACATCAAGTTAGGAGCGCAACATTTTTCTCTGTCATGCAAATTTTATAATTATATTTTTACTACAGTTTTGACGTTTCTGAATTTTCGAGTATTGCAAATTATCGTTATTTAACCTGCTACATATGTTTGAATACGAATACGTTTTGTTTTTAAAACACCAGCAATTAGTACACTGAGCTTATCTCATTCTCTCCCTTGGTAGGTCGATGACATAAGCGTCATTTCTCCCATCAGATTTAATCATAGAGTTGATGTGACCTGGCGTAAACTCTGTGTAGTCAACACAAAACCCACCCACCCTTAACTTCCACCTCGCTCTGAGATCTGAACTCAATACTTTTAGACTAGCCACCGTTAGAACTATCGCTCGACCACAAATTACATTCTCAGCAGGTAAATATTATTGTGGTGTATACTCACACATTACAAAAAGAAAACATTAAAACATCAAGTTTAAAATAAATTTTCCCGCATACATCAAGTTTCAAATGAATGCTAGTGGCACAACTAACTCTACCGCACATAACCCCTCCCCCAACACCTTAACACCACAACATCACAACACCACAACATCACAACACCACAACACCACAACACCACAACACACATACGAACTACCAGAAGATGCTCCAATGCATGTATACACTTCCTCAGTGAACACACCTTGCACCAACAGGTAGGCAGATCAACAGATGATGTAACCGTCCTCGTGAGGGATGCTAGGTTGGTTCCACTGTTAGTGTGGGGGTGCTAGGTTGGTACCACTGTTAGTGTGGGGGTGCTAGGTTGGTACCACTTTTAGTGAGGGGTGCTAGGTTGGTACCACTGTTAGTGTGGGGGTGCTAGGTTGGTACCACTGTTAGTGTGGGGGTGCTAGGTTGGTACCACTGTTAGTGTGGGGTGCTAGGTTGGTACCACTTTTAGTGTGAGGGTGCTAGGTTGGTACCACTGTTAATGTGGGGGTGCTAGGTTGGTATCACTGTTAGTGTGGGGGTGCTAGGTTGGTACCACTGTTAGTGTGGGGTGCTAGGTTGGTACCACTGCTAGTGTGGGGGTGCTAGGTTGGTACCACTGTTAGTGTGGGGGTGCTAGTTTGGTACCACTGTTAGTGTGGGGGTGCTAGGTTGGTACTACTGGTAGTGTGGGGGTGCTAGATTGGTACCACTGCTAGTGTGGGGTGCTAGGTTGGTACCACTGCTAGTGTGGGGGTGCTAGGTTGGTACCACTGTTAGTGTGGGGGTGCTAGGTTGGTACCACTGTTAGTGTGGGGGTGCTAGGTTGGTACCACTGTTAGTGTGGGGGTGCTAGGTTGGTACCACTGTTAGTGCTAAGTTGGTACCACTGTTAGTGCTAGGTTGGTACCATTGTTAGTGTGGGGGTGCTAGGTTGGTACCACTGTTAGTGTAGGGGTGCTAGGTTGGTACCACTGTTAGTGCTAGGTTGGTACCACTGCTAGTGTAGGGGTGCTAGGTTGGTACCACTGCTAGTGTGGGGGTGCTAGGTTGGTACCACTGTTTGTGTGGGGGTGCTAGGTTGGTAACACTGTTAATGTGGGGGTGCTAGGTTGGTACCATTGCTAGTGTCGGGGTGCTAGGTTGGTTCCACTGTTAGTGTGGGGGTGCTAGGTTGGTACCACTGTTAGTGCTAAGTTGGTACCACTGTTAGTGCTAGGTTGGTACCATTGTTAGTGTGGGGGTGCTAGGTTGGTACCACTGTTAGTGTAGGGGTGCTAGGTTGGTACCACTGTTAGTGCTAGGTTGATACCACTGCTAGTGTGGGGATGCTAGGTTGGTACCACTGTTAGTGCTAGGTTGGTACCACTGTTAATGTGGGGGTGCTAGGTTGGTACCACTGCTAGTGTGGGGATGCTAAGTTGTTACCACTGTTAGTGTAGGGGTGCTGGGTTGGTACCACTGTTAGTGTGGGGGTACTAAGTTGGTACCACTGTTAGTGCTAGGTTGGTACCACTGTTAGTGTGGGGGTGCTAGGTTGGTACCACTGTTAGTGTGGGGGTGCTAGGTTGGTACCACTGTTAGTGTGGGGGTTGCTAGTTTGGTTCCACTGTTAGTGTGGGGTGACGTCTCTACCCTAGCCTTGTTTTGGATAAATTGTAAATAATTGGTGCCACAAACAACATTCGCAACCAATTAGCTCTACTTAATTGTTTTTGTATGCATATATATATGTATATATATATATATATATATATATATATATATATATATATATATATATATATATATATATATATAAATTAAAATATGTATTTGTGTATGGGTGAGTGTATACACGTATTTTTTGTTTGTACGTATAACAATATTTAATCAGAATCGTGCAAAGAGTAACATATAATATCTCGTAGAATTAAGCCAGAACAATACTATTTTATTAATTAAGTGCATCTATTCACCCAACTAAGCAAAATTGAGCCTCTTGTTACGTAGCAGTTACCTCCCCTCATATCTTGAGCATCTAATAGTGCAGCTCAAGGTCGACATAATTCCCCTGGAAGACGTTTCAGGTGTGACCTAGTTTGCATGACGTAGAGTTAACCTTTAACCCGTTGCCATGGCACAATATAAAGTATGAAACAGGAAAATCAGGGCAAAGTGGATTGAATGTTTCTGATCAATCCCGACAATCTTCAATGGTTGAACACACACCCCTGATGGTTGAACACACACCCCTGATGGTTGAACACACACCCCTGATGGTTGAACACACACCCCTGATGGTTGAACACACACCCCTGATGGTTGAACACACACCACTGATGGTTCAACATACACCCCGGATGGTTGAACACACAACTGATGGTTGAACACACCCCTCCCCCACCCCCTGGCCGTGAAAGGAAATGTTCAAATTTCACATGAGGTTCAGCATGACAGAATTCAACTTGCCATGATAAATTCCACACTAATTCCATCACAGATTCCATATCATTACACATGTCACATGACTTCACATTTTTTACAAGCCATAGTTCATGTCATGCACGTGTGTTCGTGCATGACATTGCATATGTCATCTAACATGACATTGCATATGTCATCTAACATGACATTGCACATGTCATTCTGCATGACATTGCACATGCCATTCTACATGACATGTTCCAGAGCGCCCTGTGGATGGAAGCTACTGAAATGTGCACAAGAAACGTCGCGTGCTGTGAGATAATAGAATCTCCCCCCCCCCAACACACACACACACACACATACACACTACCCCAATCCTACCACACCACATTGCCCAAAGATCAGGGGTGAGTGGGGTAGGGAATGATAACACACAGCAGCTTGTGTGGGGAGGTTTTTGGTGCAAGAAGGCCATAGAACGATACTGATGGCAGTATTATCTTTCAGTGAGGCAGTGAATTAAACTGTTAGCCAGAGACCTGACGATTCTAGTCGTCCCTCCATTCACATAGGGCATCACAAAGAAACATGTCGAATCAAAAATTATTTTTAAGTCCAAACATTTCTTTACTTAAAAGTTCTGTCTTTTTTCATTTAAGATATTAAAAAAAATTAAATATATATTTTTTAAAAATATATGGTAGTCAATGAAAGTACACGATAATTAAAATACTAGCAAATAGGTACAGAATAGAACAGATAATAAACAACCAATGAGGCAAGAAATGGCGCTGAATTTTGGCGCGTCATTCTCTGCTGACTTTGGGTCAAAGGTCATGGCGAAAGCTCGTACTTGACCCCCAGTCCCACGGTCAAATTTCGTGGGGTTGGCGAAAAATCTGAAGTTCTTGGCCGGAAGTTGATCCGTGCCCTTTAAGTTCTCCACGATGAGCCGGTCCCTGGGGAGGTAAGTCGTGTGGATGTGGGGGCGTGGGAGTGGCTTCCCCTTGAGACTCATGGGGTCGGGACTTCGGGTGTCTGTCCCGATGATCTTGACGTCACGTTCGTGGAGGAGGAAGTCAGCGGCGGCCTCGCTGACGGACGGGAACACAATGTTGCTGGGGACAATGTCAAGGTCATTGTTACAGCGATAAATTAGTACAGGCTACATCGACACATGAGTACAGGCTACATCGACAAATTAGTACAGGCTACATCGACAAATGATTATTACAACGTCACTATTTTTTAAAGACTGAAATTATCGCTCGTTGCTTTAGATATTTAAAAATTGATCCTAGACCTAATTATCATTAACTAGGAAAGTTTAATTGATCTTCACCAACGGATAAAACACCAACCTGATATTGCCGGTAACATCTCCTATGTACTCCAGTGGATTGCCGAATTTTGCCGACCAACCAAAGTTGAAGATGACGGCAGCTTGGTCAGGAATACGGCCGTGTTTGGTCTCCCAATCTAAAATCTGGGGACAACAAATGATTTGTTAAATCCCTGGGGCAGAAGGTGTGGATAATGTTTCAGAAAGGGTTGGTGCAAGCGTCCATCCGGCTCAGTGGATGCTGGCTCATGCAAAGTCAATACGGGTGGACTGAGAGGTCACCGTAACAGACGTATGTCAAGGTCACAGTGTGACCTACTTAGGTCTAGTAATGTTTTATTTTTAGTTTGACATTGTTATAATACCATATATGGTCGATGGTGCAACAACCGGGTTTTTTCCGCTGTCTTACTAAGGGAGTCTAAGACTCAGAAATTTTCCATCAAGATCTGATTGATTGATTCAGACCAGATGACCACCCCAACCAATGGCCACATGAGTTGAGGGTAACCTCCCATGTTGCCTAAGTCTATAACTAGATCGCCCACAGGCGGCACGAGGCAGTCCATTTTGACCGGCAGTCCATTATGACCAGGCCGTCCATTTTGACCGGCAGTCCATTCTGACCATTTGAACGTGAGAGAGCTTAAGTCCTGAGTGTGCTGTGCATTCTTAAGTTGTTTAAGTATTCTAGTATTATATTACTTGTGGCCAAGTGATTCTTGATGCTATAGCAGTGTTATGTGACCTGTGGCTATTTTTATAAAGTGTTAGAATCTGTGATAGTATTTTTTCTTACGCTTTGTAAGTTGGGTTTTGTTATTTTCTAAACTAAATATTTTATCTTGTTTAACCTTGTGTTCTGCCACAACTGTGTTCACTTATTAAAGGTTGTATGCAGATTGAATGAGTTGTTAACTTCAATAGTTTCACTAGTTTTCCCTAGACCTCGAAATCGAGCCCTAGTGAGTTGTTGAGTTAGTTTTCATTCAGCTAGGCTTTAGGTCATTTGCATATAACCCCAAGAAAGAATCCGGGGGCGTTCACCATCTATCTGGCTGGTAGATAGGTGTCCGTTACAAAGTGGGGGCTCGTCCGGGATTTAATCTGTCGTTCCAGTTGTTGGTTGTATCAGTTAAACACTAAGTTTAGTTTGATTTAGTTGTTTTTCTATCCAGTGGAGCCGTGTTATTAAAACGCGCGCAAGGCTAGAGTTATCTAGGTCAAAAAAGCCAGACGTGTCACGTCCTAGATTGAAGGTCAAGTTCATAACGCAGCGTTGGGCCGTGTTAATTTAGAGAATCTAGGCTTGTTTTGATTTTGAAGTTAGTGAAATGGAATCTTTTTTGTCAAACCCCACAGTTGAGGAGGTAGAGAAGTTGAGTAGGAAAGTTTTGATTAGTGTTGTTAAGGAATTGAAATTGGATTATTCTGTTACTCAGAAATCAGAGGTGTTGAGAGATAAAATTGTTGTTCATTTTATTAATGAAGGTGTATTTGATGAAAGTTTGTTGGCTGGGGTGATACTCCGTGAGGAGAAACCTCTAGAGAAAGTGGAATTAGAAGCTAAAATTGCTTTAGAGAAGGAGAAGGTTGCTCTAGAGAAGGTAGAATTAGAAGCTAGAATTGCTTTAGATAAGAGGAGGTTGGAATTAGAATTTGGTAAAGTTAGTGGAGATGTCACTTCTCTGGTAGATCCTAAAAAGTTGTCGGTGGGGCAAGTGATTGCCAAATTTGGGAAATTAGTTCCTAAATTTGATGAAACAGATTTGGTCGTTTTCTATAACTCATTTGAGAGTTTAGCGAAGACATGTGAATGGCCCGAAACTTCCATTACTGCTTTATTGAGCATGGTCCTTACAGGGAAAGCTGCAAAAACATACCAGGCACTCTCTCACGACGTTCAAAATAACTATAGTTTGGTCAAGACTGCCATTTTGAAGGCCTACGAACTGACGCCCGAGGCCTATCGGATAAAATTCCGAGCACTCCGCAAGTTACCCACTCAATCATATGTGGAATTTCTCTTTGAAAAAGAGAAAATTTTCTCAAGGTGGCTACACTCTGAGGAAGTTTCTGAGTTTGAGAGGCTCAGATCACTTATCCTAAGGGAGGAATTCCTAAAGTCCCTGCCTGAAGACATACGACTACACATACTGGATAACAAGATAATTGACATCCAGAAGGCTGCTGAGTCGGCTGACACATATATGTTGGTGCATAAGAAACCACCAGTGTCAGGAAACCGCCTCAACCCCGTGCTTCCCCTTTTTGGCAGCAATCATCCTGTTGGCCAACACTTGAAGGCATTACAGTCCAGAGAGAAACCAAGATCAACTCTCAATCGTCGAGCAGTATGTCAGTTCTGCAAGAGACCTGGTCACCATGTCAAGGACTGCTACAAACGTCTTCATTTAACAGAGAGGTGGTGCGTACCTCTGCGCACTATGCTCTATCCCCTCAAGCAGCCGGTTCAAATATGAACTCTAGAATTCTAAGGGACGCTAACCCTAAGTGTCCGCAGGAAGGCAGTCAAATCTCCACACATTATGTTCAGTCACATTTTGACTGTTCACGCCACCATCCAATTTCTTCCGAGTCTACCGATCTCGAGGGATCGAGAAAGGTTGACTTTTCATCTTTCATTACAGAGGCTGTCATTAGCAAACCAGGTGATCCGTTGTCTCAGCAGAATATCACCGTCCTAAGAGACACAGGAGCGTCACAGTCACTTCTTTTGAAAAGCTCAATGGACATTACACCGGAGACGAACACCGGAAATGTTTCCATTATCCAGGGAGTGGGGACAAAATCTACTGTAGTCCCTCTACACAAGTTTGCCCTGAAACATCATCTCGTCGAAGGCGAAGTCATTTTAGGTGTGATAGATAGTATTCCTGTCCCAGGAGTACACCTGCTTCTAGGGAATGACCTTGCGGGAAGCAAAGTATACCCCTGTACGGTTCAAAACCCTTTGTCAACAGTTCCAGATAATGATAATGAACTGTATCCTGCATGTGCGGTGACAAGAAGCCAGACCAAACAATTGGCTGACACAACGTCTGAACCACACCTACCATCATCGTCAAGAAATTCGACTCCCAAACTGGAGTCTATGCTTCCAGAGAACACAAGCCTGGGCTTACCCCTGAGGCTATCTCAGGTAGACATCATTAGAGCTCAACAAGTCGACGCGGAACTCAAAGCAATGGTCGAAAAGTCACTCTCATCTGACGATGGAGAGTATTTCTCCGAGAACGGCCTCTTCTTTCGTCGCTCTGTACCAGTGGATGCCTCACCTGCCGAACCATGGTTGGGTAAAAACCAGCTGTGGGTCCCTCCACCTTATCGGCATGAAATACTGAAACTGGCACATGACCATCCAATGTCAGCGCACCCAGGAGTCACTAAAACAATGGCGAAGATCAAAGAACTGTTCTTTTGGCCCAAAATGAGAAATGATGTGTCGCGTTACTGCAAAAGTTGCACGAACTGTCAGTTGGCCGGAAAGCCAAACCAGAAAATTCCTAAGGCCTCTTTGAGTCCGATTCCTGTATTAGAAGAACCCTTTTCTAAAATCGTCATGGACTGTGTAGGTCCCTTGCCTAAAACCAAGGCGGGCAACGAGTACCTACTTACCTTTATGTGTTCAAGTACCCTCAGTCTCAAGGCGTACTTGAGAGGTTCCACCAAACCCTAAAATCCATGCTAAGAACATTCGCTAAAAGTAACACCCAATGGGATGAGACTGTTCCATGGATTATTTTCGCCGCGAGAGACTGTGTCCAGGAAGCTCTAGGTTACTCTCCTTTTCAGCTTGTGTTTGGACATTCTGTCCGTGGTCCCCTGAAGCTGATCCACGAGCGTTGGACAGGTACCAGTGATCATCCAGTGGAAAACTTTGACGATTTTCACGTTCGACTGAAAGCCGTGTGCGAAATGGCTCACAAGAACTTAAGAAAGGTCCAAGTGAGAATGAAAGGACAGTATGATAAGAGTTCTCGTAAACGAACATTCAATCCAGGCGAGAAAGTTCTTGTGCTAGTGCCTAATCTGAACAATGCGTTATCCTTAAGATATTGTGGACCCTTTACTGTGCATTCAAAATTAAGTGATTTGAACTATGTTGTCAATACGCCAGACAGAAGAAAGAAACAGACAGTGTATCATGTTAACTCACTGAAAAAGTATTATGATAATTGTAACAATTTTCATTCCACAGCTAAAATTACTTTACCTGTATGTTCAAATGTTTCTGATGATGTGATACATGACAAATTGAAACCCCCAAAATTGGTAAATTCTTCCTTTTTGGATCATCTAAATGACCACCTTATGCATTTGTCCACAGAGGAAAGCCATAAATTGTCTCAGTTATTTGAGACATTTCCCTCTATTTTTGGGGATGTCCCCAAAGAAGCGAAGGTACCACCTCATGATGTAGATGTAGGTGATGCAAAACCCATCAAACAACACCCCTATAGAGTTAACCCGGAAAAAGCTGTTTTGATAAAAGATGAAATTGATTATATGCTCAGGAATGATATCATTGAACCCAGTTTCAGCAACTGGAGTTCCCCATGTCTTTTGTCCCGAAAGACGGTGGATCTTTCAGGTTTGTGACCGACTTTAGGAAGGTAAATGCGCTCACCAAAGCTGATTCCTATCCATTACCTCGAATAGAAGACGTTATTGATAAAGTTGGTCAAGCTAAGATAATTTCCAAAATTGATTTACTATCAGGATACTGGCAAATCCCCTTATCTGACCGTGCAAAAGAAATATCTGCTTTTGTAACCCCTAATGGTTTTTATAGATACAAACGTATGCCCTTTGGTATGCGAAATGCTGGTCAAACTTTCCAGCGGGTCATTAACTCTGTCATTGCTGACATAGACCAATGTGAGGCCTACATAGATGATATAGTTGTATTTTCTAATACTTTTGAAGAACATATTGTTCAGTTGACTAACCTTTTTATAAAATTGTCTGAAGTTAATTTTACTGTAAACCTGCATAAAAGTGATTTCTGTAAAGGTTCAATTACCTATTTGGGTTATCAAGTGGGAACGAACCAAGTTAGGCCCATTGAAGCTAAAGTAGATGCTATTGTAAAGTTGCCTCCTCCCAAAAATTGTAAAGAAATCAAAATGTTCCTTGGGATGGCTGGTTACTATAGGCGGTTCTGTCAAAACTTTTCAGCTGTTGCTGAACCTCTTACTGCATTATTGAAAAAGGGTGTTGAGTTTGAATGGTCAACTAAATGTCATGAAGCTTTTTTAACCATTAAGTCATTTTTATCTAATGCTCCTGTTATGGCTGCACCAGATTTCAGCAAGCCCTTTAAACTTGCCATTGATGCTAGCAACTTAGCCATTGGCTCAGTCTTATTTCAAGAAGACAACATGGGGATTGACCATCCAATTGCTTTTTTTTCCAGGAAGTTAAATGAGAACCAAAAGAATTATTCCACTATTGAAAAAGAAGCTTTAGCTTTGGTTTTGTCCTTACAACATTTTGAAGTCTATGTCACTTCTTCAACCAATCCAGTCAGAGTATTTTCTGACCATGATCTCCTGAAATTTACCTCTAAGTTAGGACAAAAGAATCACAGAATATTGAGATGGTGTTTATATTTCCAAAATTTTAATCTGGAAATTTCCCACATTAAGGGTATTGATAATGTTGTGGCTGATTGTTTGTCAAGGATGTAAAATCTTATTACACACATTGATCATGTGACATGTTTTGTGGTTCATTAGGACCATACACAAGTGTTTTGTTTAGGTGACACTCACATGAATGTGAGTGGTATGAGTTTTGAATTTTTTCAAAATTTCAATCATGTTGAATATTTTGTTTATTTTCAGGTGAACCTTATTTAAAGGTGGTTTTTGATTATATGTAATCTTCTATGATAATATGTCTCATATGACTCAGTTGATATTGTAGCTAGTCATTGAAATAAAGGTTTTACCCTGTCGGGTTTACCACTTTTAATATCCACATGGAAATATTGTAATACCCCTTTTGAGGGATTTTGATGTATTATTATTTTTTGAAAGGGTTACTCCCCTTTCACAAATTGTAAAAGTTTGAGTTACTTCCCTTTTGTTTCCAGGGATATTTTCATCTGGTATTAAGATTGTGGTTGGCAACATTTGTAGAACATTTTTTTTATTTCATTGCCAGATTGGTTCCTTATGTATGTTTTTGTGGAACCTATCTGTCACTTCCAAAAAGGGAGGGGATGTGACCTACTTAGGTCTAGTAATGTTTTATTTTTAGTTTGACATTGTTATAATACCATATATGGTCGATGGTGCAACAACCGGGTTTTTTCCGCTGTCTTACTAAGGGAGTCTAAGACTCAGAAATTTTCCATCAAGATCTGATTGATTGATTCAGACCAGATGACCACCCCAACCAATGGCCACATGAGTTGAGGGTAACCTCCCATGTTGCCTAAGTCTATAACTAGATCGCCCACAGGCGGCACGAGGCAGTCCATTTTGACCGGCAGTCCATTATGACCAGGCCGTCCATTTTGACCGGCAGTCCATTCTGACCATTTGAACGTGAGAGAGCTTAAGTCCTGAGTGTGCTATGCATTCTTAAGTTGTTTAAGTATTCTAGTATTATATTACTTGTGGCCAAGTGATTCTTGATGCTATAGCAGTGTTATGTGACCTGTGGCTATTTTTATAAAGTGTTAGAATCTGTGATAGTATTTTTTCTTACGCTTTGTAAGTTGGGTTTTGTTATTTTCTAAACTAAATATTTTATCTTGTTTAACCTTGTGTTCTGCCACAACTGTGTTCACTTATTAAAGGTTGTATGCAGATTGAATGAGTTGTTAACTTCAATAGTTTCACTAGTTTTCCCTAGACCTCGAAATCGAGCCCTAGTGAGTTGTTGAGTTAGTTTTCATTCAGTTAGGCTTTAGGTCATTTGCATATAACCCCAAGAAATAATCCGGGGGCGTTCACCATCTATCTGGCTGGTAAATAGGTGTCCGTTACAACAGTAACAGACATATGTCAAGGTCACAGTAACAGAAGTATGCCAAGGTCACAGTATCAAGCACACTATTCTTCATCTACCACATGAAGCTTGAGTTATGAAAAGGGGAACTACACGCTTTATTATTATTTAATTGTACACTTCATTATTGATGGCCACTTAGATAAGAGAATTTCATAGTTTTTATAAATGAGGATACGACATATTTTAGATGGTATGACAAGATATTTCAAGAGGGTAAAAAAAAGGTCCTTGAGTAATGTAGGGTGATCTTTGGTGTAAAATGATCACTTAGAATATGCAAAGAGATATTTTTGGTCATTTTAAAAGACGTTTTAAATGGTGTATGAAGATATTTTAGATAATGCAAGAAGATCTGACCTTCTCTAATACAACATGACCTTCTCTCTAAATTGACCGGACATTCTCTAAAGTGACCTCTGGCTTCTCTAAAGTGACCTCTGACCTTCTCTAAAGTGACCTCTGACCTTCTCTAAAGTGACCTGGTACTCCCGATCTTGTCTAGCCTCCTCTGAGCAGTCGATCATGACGCCCTCAGCGATCGTGTCCTCGATCGTCAACTGCTCAAGTGTTTTCGAACCTGGGACCATGAGGTAAGAGATCATGAATACAAATTATCAGGCACTAAAATCAGATCTCACTTTTATTTTAAATAGGGGGTGGTCAGTTAAGTACAAGAGTCTTGGAGAGGGAGGGGAAGGTTTGACTTAAGGACGATACGAGACGTAGGATGGTACTTGTGTGACGACCCATGAGAAGTTACCTTTAACAAAGTGCTATGGTGCGTGTGTGATAGTTACCTTTAACAAAATTCTAGGGTATTTGTGTAACAGTTACCTTCAACAAAGTGCTATTATACTAGTGTGACAGTTACCTTTAACAGAGTGCTATTATACTAGTGTGACAGTTACCTTTAACAAAGTGCTATGGTACTTGTGTGACAGTTACCTTTAACAAAGTGCTATGGTACGTGTGTGATAGTTACCTTTAACAAAGTGCTATGGTTCTAGTGTTACAGTTACCTTTAACAAAGTGCTATGGTACGTGTGTTAGAGTTACCTTTAACAAAGTGCTATGGTACTTGTGTGACAGTTACCTTTAACAAAGTGCTATGGTACTTGTGTGATAGTTACCTTTAACAAAGTGCTATGGTACTTGTGAGACAGTTACCTTTAACAAAGTGCTATGGTACTTGTGAGACAGTTACCTTTAACAAAGTGATATGGTACTTGTGAGACAGTTACCTTTAACAAAGTGCTATGGTACTTGTGTGAGTCACCGTTAACAAAGTGCTATGGTACGTGTGTGACAGTTACCTTTAAAAAAGTGCAATGGTGCTTGTGTGATAGTTACCTTTAACAAAGTGCTATGGTACGTGTGTGATAGTTACCTTTAACAAAGTGCAATGGTACGTGTGTTACAGTTACCTTTAACAAAGTGCTATGGTACGTGTGTGAGTCACCGTTAACAAAGTGCTATGGTACGTGTGTGACAGTTACCTTTAAAAAAGTGCAATGGTGCTTGTGTGATAGTTACCTTTAACAAAGTGTGCTGGTGCGTCAATGTGCGTGCCTACATGCTCTCCAACACTGTAGGCCCCAGACTCGATGCTGTAAGGGGAAGTAAGAAAGGAGAAGGTGAATGATAATTCCGGGGTTATCGGCCATTAATAGAGTAACACAACACAAACCAGATGGTACGTGTATCACACAAGGACGTCCTAACAAATCTGCTAGGTCACAGATACTTTGTTTCCAGCTGGTATCACCACACTACCATCCGTTGTATCACCACACTACTATCCGTTGTATCACCACACTACCCTCCGATGTGTTGTATCACCACTCCACCGTCCGGTATTATTGTATCACCACACTACCGGTCGTTGTGTCATATAACCACACTGTCGTACCGTCCATGTAAACGTTGTATCCCCTCAGTTAGACTGTACTGGGGGGGGGGGTTCTAGTCCGTCAAATATTTTAATTTAATCAATTTAGATAAAACATGAGTATAGTAAAACCATCCTACCAAACTCTTAATTAGTGTAATCAATCACACATTTCAATAGAATAAGTTAAGACAACGTGTGTGTAGTATTTGAACATCTTACTAAACTCCTAATTAGTGTAATAAATCACACATTTCAATAGAATAAGTTAAGACAACGTGTGTGTTGTATTTAAACATCTTACTAAACTCCTTCATAGCTCTGTCCACGACTCAGCACCGTCCAGTTGTACGTTGGTGCGTTGGATGGGGTGAAGCTGTTTCTGTCTATCACATGTGACAGGTCTATCGTCCGGCACAGCACGACGTCCGTCAGGATCAGCAGGGTCCAGCAAAATAGGCTTGGGTTCATGACTGATCACGTGGTCTGTATGCCGTCTATGTAGAAGGTAGAGATCACGCGGTCTGTACGCCGTCTATGTAGAAGGTAGAGGTCAGGTGGTCTGTACGCCGTCTATGTAGAAGGTAGAGGTCAGGTGGTCTGTACGCCGTCTATGTAGAAGGTAGAGGTCAGATGGTCTAACGTCTAGGTAGGTCTAACAGAAGATAGAGGTCACGTGGTCTAACGTAGTCTACACAGAAGGTAGTAGAGATCAGGCTAGATTGTTTTTGTTCACTTAGATGTATACGGGAAACGTTTTGAAGAAATTCTCACGAAAAAAAAAACATGATGTAATTGCTGCTGAAGTCTTTAAATAAAAACTACTCTATTATCCGTGGCTAGAATTTAAATAACCGGCTAAATAGCTTGGTTAAATTAATCCAGTTCGTCGTTTACGAGCAGCCACAAAATAGACTTCTCTAGTTTTAGCATATAAATAAATCCTAACTCTAACAATAAAATGTCGAATGCAGTACTTGTATTGCGTTAACCCTCAACATGTTGTTTGAATTTGGAATCTATTTTTAAACTCAGTTAACCCTAGCAGAAACAACACACAACTCACGTGAAACCAGTCGATGATGTGTAGTGTGCTTTACTAGGTCGGTGTGGTTTACACACAGGCTGCTGTAGTGTGCTCTGGTAGGTCGGTGTTGTTTACACTCTGGCGTGTACTTTTATAACCGACGTACCAACATTCCCTCTCTGCCACTAGGTCACGTGACCGTGGAGAAATTGTAAGCCTTCAGCGCAGTCAGTCGTAAAATATTAGGATGAGAAACTGTATTTTATAGCCAGCTTTTAAGTGAGCCTAAAAAATAAAACAATAAAACGTCTTAGAAAATTTTATAGAGCGCTCAACGCTTTTTTCATTATAGATAATATGTTCTATAAGATATTGTAAATATGCAGGATGACGTCGACTTTTTAAATTTACACAAATCATTAACTGCCCCTTTAAAAATCCTTAACTGCCCCTTTAAAAAACAAGTAACTGACCTTTTTAAAAAATAATTAACATTTGAAAACCCATTAACTTGATTAACTGCCCCTTACTTAACTCATCCTCTATGGTCTGTCCACAACATGAAGAACAGCAACTCATTTGACTTGTCGATTGGGCGCTGCTACCTAGTTATTTCCCTTGGTTTAATAGAACGTTGTGATGTTTCATTTCAGTTTTTCTGACAAATTAAAAAAAAAAATGTATTGGAAATCAGATGTATTAGTAATTTCAAGTTGCAACACCAACCTAGGTTTTAAAAAAACCAACCTATATGACAAGAGGTTTTAAAACCATACTGACAGGTTGCAACCACCAACCTATGTGATAGGTTGCAACCAACAACCACCAACCTATGTGACAGGTTGCAACCAACAACCACCAACCTATCTGACAGGTTGTAACCACCAACCTATGTGACAGGTTGCAACCACCAACCACCAACCTGTTGTAACCACCAACCTATCTGACAGGTTGTAACCACCAACCTATGTGACAGGTTGCAACCACCAACCACCAACCTGTTGTAACCACCAACCTATCTGACAGGTTGTAACCACCAACCTATGTGACAGGTTGCAACCACCAACCACCAACCTGTTGTAACCACCAACCTATCTGACAGGTTGTAACCACCAACCTATGTGACAGGTTGTAACCATCAACCTATCTGACAGGTTGTAACCACCAACCTGTTGTAACCACCAACCTATGTGACAGGTTGTAACAGGTTGGCCCAACAACCACAATCAACAGATCAGCACAAGCTTATCTCACCTTGTGACTAGAGTTCCTTATCTCTGTATCTCACCACAGTCTCGCCATTTAATTCACCCAAGTCATTCTGTCGTCAAGCCTCTGAAGTATTTGCTCTTTCATTTTAACCATCATAACTACTCAGTAGTTTCTTTACACTGTTTGAATTTTCTTAAAACATTATAGTGTTAATTTTAGTATTTAGCTTAAAACATGTTCAACTTACCACAGTAATTAAATTTGTAATTTAGGTAGAGCCTGAGTTGGGTTTACAGCTTGGTGGATGTATTAAGAAATTCAGTGAAACAAATAATTCACTCTACTTCACCTTCACTGCAGCAGAAAGGACGTGTAATGTAGACAAATGTTTTCTGTAATCACGCCAGATTGTCCACGTGACTCCCGCCACCATGAAGATTGTTTACCTCCTGTGTCTGCTGGTGCTTGTAGTTCTGGCAGTTGAGAGTCGCAGCATTGATCTCCAGGTGAGGTTGTATCCAACAGGTACCCTGAGTCTTGGGTTCAAACCCTTGTCAGAGATGTGTGTTTATTTAAAGTATCAAAATAATGTTCCTGGGACATTTCAAACTGTTTTAAAACTAAAATATAAAAACGTTCTTGGTTAACAAAAAAACGATTATATTGTTTGCAGAGTATAAATGCAGCTTGATAGTTTATAATAATTAAAAAAGATTCTGTTAAAGGATAACATAGTAAGACAAATAAAGTAGTAAACCGTTTAGACGGTTAACAGGGAGAGTGACGCCATTGTTGTTGGTTCATTGTGAATTATTTATGTTTGTAATACCTCTACTTTTTTAACCTTTTTCTACAATTACTAAATTTTTAAAGTTTTTTTTTATGGTGAAATACCATTGAATTTAGCAGTAATTTCATTGGAATTTTGCCATACCAAAATTTGAAAATTTAAAAAAATATTTCTAGAGTGTTTTCTGTTACAAAAACTAACCAGCCGATTCTATAAGTGTTAGTACAAGAGAGATTAATGGTTATATAGCCGATATATATGTTAGTTTATGATATTTAAGGACGCCAGAAAACGATGGTTTTTTTTTCAAGGTGGCCCCCGTTGCCATGGCAACCATAATTTAAAAGAGTCTCCGATGCATGGAAATATTTTCTTTTAAATACCCTAACTGAGATATACACAAATAAATCATTAACACGTTTTAATTAGGAAGTTTATTTTTTCTGGAGCCTACCCCACTAATATAACATTAACCCTCTAAGTCCTTGTATTTCAGCAAGCTCGAGCGGCCTTTAACCCCATGTGTGCCGTGGTCCTGTGTATTAACCCTCTAAGTCCCTGTTTTTCAGCAAGCTCGGGCGGCCTTTAACCCAATGTGTGCTGTGGTCCTGTGTATGATGCCACAACCTTGTGCTGACGGCTCCCAGCCTGTGGTGGCCCCCAATCAGTGTTGTCCAACATGTCCGATCACGCAGTAAGTTAAACCTTGGGTCAACTCAGTGGGTTAAACCTTGGTTCAACTCAGTAAGTTAAACCTTGGTTCAACTCAGTAAGTTAAACCTTGGTTCGACTTAGTAGGTTAAACCTTGGTTCAACTCAGTAAGTTAAACCTTGGTTCGACTTAGTAGGTTAAACCTTGGGTCAACTCAGTAAGTTAAACCTTGGGTCAACTCAGTAAGTTAAACCTTGGTTCAACTCAGTAAGTTAAACCAAGTGCCTCCTCACAAAGTTTAACTTTTGCAAGGGACACAACCCTCAATATTTCTCGAATGAACTTGACCACTTTTAAAAAGGGCGAAAACCTAAGATAGAACCACAAATCATGTTGCGATAACTCACAAATTATTTTTTTTTAATTTTGTCATTCCAGCACGTAGCGAGTCTGTGTTGAAGTCTTCCAAGCCCCAAGAAAATGTGCAGGAGGTTGGACTAAATACATCTGACAAAACATATCCAGGTTATCGCCCTTACTCCCTGGAGAAAGTTACCCCCGAAACTGTCAAATAAACTCAATAAAGTTTCGTGAAAAAAAAAAATTCTTGACATCTGTTTATCTTAGGACTTATCTCTCTGTCTTAAGACTTACTTAACGAAGAAAGTAGGATGCTGTGAGCTGTTGGTGTTTATCATGCTGCTGTTTACCTGCATCGATGGTGTTGTGGTCGTATTGTCACATTATGAGGTCGGTGACGTCACAAACCTAATCCTGCCTCACTGGTGACATCAGTAGCTCTCGCTGTGTGTGCATCGGTTGCAGAATTAAAGTTTTACGCAATAAATAAAATTCTTCGAAAAAAAGTAGCCTTAAACACAATTAACATTCACAATAAATAGAGATTTTAAGTTGTAACGTGTCACAAAACTATTCAGTTCAGATTGAAACAGCTAGAGCAGTGCCAAACAATAAGACAGACAGTAGCTGTAACCTCAACATGTCTGGACAGTCGCTACTAGAACCATTGTCTGACGTTATGGATATCACGGAGGTTCGCTTAACGACGATACAATCGGAGGCCTAGGAGTGGACCGTCGTTAACGTGTGTTTAGCCAACTTTTTCTTTACTAAATCAATTGAACAGCTCGCTGACACTGGCCTATGTGGCTGGTTCAACCGAAAACCACAATCAATAGTTGAACACTGGTTGAACCAAAATACCACAATCAACACTTTAACTACTCATTAAAAAATCTACGGTTAAACCGTTGACCACAATCAACCGTTCAACCGTTGACCACAATCAACAGTTAATCACAATCAACAGTTGACCACAATCAAAAGTTGACCACAATCAACAGTTAATCACAATCAACAGTTGACCACAATCAACAGTTGACCACAATCAACAGTTAATCACAATCAACAGTTGACCACAATCAACAGTTGACCACAATCAACAGTTGACCACAATCAACAGTTGACCACAATCAACAGTTGAACCGTTGACCACAATCAACCGTTCAACCGTTGACCACAATCAACCGTTCAACCGTTGACCACAGTCAACAGTTGACCACAATCAACAGTTGACCACAATCAACAGTTGACCACAATCAACAGTTGACCACAGTCAACAGTTGACCACAATCAACAGTTGACCACAATCAACAGTAGATCACGATCAACAGTTGACCACAATCAACAGTTGACCACAATCAACAGTTGACCACAAACAACAGCTGACCACAATCAACAGTTGACCACAATCAACAGTTGACCACAAACAACAGCGGACCACAATCAACAGTTGACCACAATCAACAGTTGATCACAGTCAACAGTTAAACAGCTGCTTATCTGATCTCGAGACTCCAGTTCTTATCGTCGCGTCGTACGTGCCTCACACTTTTTCTTGCCATCTAATTAATTGACGTCAGTTGATTACCTTCCAGCATTCGCCGAAATTTTGTTTAGAAAAGTGGTAGGTATTTTTTTTTTAATCAAGTCGACATTGTATTATTCAACTTTCTTTCAAGTCTGACGTAAAATACGTTTCATTAAATACTATAATTACTTTCGAAGTTTTGAACTATTGCAACTAAACAGATATCTATTAGGTTTTCAACATGTTACAGATATTTTTTATGTGTAAGGGATTGAATGTGTTAAAAATATTAATGGTCAATAGATGACATTAAGTCCATAATTTATAACAAGAGCTGGAGACCTAGACCTAGACCTAGACCTAGACCTAGACCTAGACCTAGACCTAGACCTAGACCTAGACCTAGACCTAGACCTAGACCTAGACCTAGACCTAGACCTAGACCTAGACCTAGACCTAGACCTAGACCTAGACCTAGACCTAGACCTAGACCTAGACCTAGACCTAGACCTAGACCTAGACCTAGACCTAGACCTAGACCTAGACCTAGACCTAG